GCTTGCGCACCATTGTTCAGGGTTCTCCTCCTGTGGTGGGTGGGGACCCTGTTGCAACAGCTTAATAAAGATCAGGCTTACTAGCAGCTTTCCTCCTACCAAAAGGGGACCCACTTAAGGACTCTATATGGGCTCTTGGATACCCCATAAGGGAAAAGGGGCAGTTTTTTTTTTCTTATAACAACACCTATCTTATTTCCTCACAGCTTTCCCAAGCCTCCCTTCCCTGCTCACCCCACCCCTTCCCTTAGCTTGCACCAAACCCCTTCTCCTCCCCTCACAGCTCACCCCAAACTATACCTCCTGCCTCACAGCTCACCTACTCTTCTTTAATCACCACTCCAGTGATATTTGGTGGAGGGGGGCAGGCGTTCCAGAGAGTAGTTTGCCAAGCAAGTGCCTCTCACCTTCCTTTAAACGACTTGCCTGAGCTGCCTGCTACCCACACTGCTTGCTTGCTCACCTGTCTGCTGTTCTGTTGTCATGCTGGAGTTGTTATTATATGTTCTCTTGTGTTGGCTCCCACATTAAAAGCACTTTTTGTCATGGATAAAGGTATCTTGGCTGATACGCTATGCCATCATCCGGTTATACTGTCTCGTTGAGTTGAAAGTAGGGTGTACAATTCCCCCTTGGTAACAGAAGACAGTCAGCAGTTGGCCTTACACACATGTGCTTTGTTACCTGTGGGAGCTTTTGGGTGGAGCAGCGTCGCTAGGGGTACAACTCTAGAGAGGCTTGGTAGGCCTAATGGTGAAATGTGTGCTCTTCATCAACGCTCTTACTACTCAGTGCTCTTACTACTGGAAAAATGGGGGTGCCAGCTGCAGCAGGAAAAGTGCAGAAGTGTGATGACCCTCACATGGGATGCAACAGTGATTACCAAACCAACCCCAGGAGGCGGCACAACCGCAATAACAAGAGTTCTAAGACTTGCCCCTGCCTGCTTCCCTCAGGGCGGATGTCTGGCAAGCATTAACCTTGCAATAATAGGAAAGTGCCTGCTTTGCTTTTGTTTATAAAATAAACAGTTTTCCCTCTGCTGTTTTCCCAAGTGCCCTTGGGGGAGAGGTGCCCAGAAAGCCAGTGGGACTCGTTGTCCTGACATGGTACAGAAAGCGCAAGCTGAGGTGAGGAGCCCCAGAAACAGGATGCTTGGGATTGCGATAGAACCATTTCCAGCAAGCTAGGAGCGACAACAGTCCAGAAACCAGGTTTAAGTAAACTGTCACCACCTTCCCTAGGCAGCTTTCCTGAGCAGAGTGAGCCTTGGAAATTAGCATGGGGCATTTTCTAACAAACCTCTTCCCCAAGCACTGTACCAATAGAACCTTCTTGAGCATTTTTGCCTGGATGGAGTGTGTCCTTCATGCCTCTTGCTTCTCCAAATGGAGGACAAAAAGTGTGTGTGTGTGTGTGTGTGTGTGTGTGTTTGAGAGAGAGAGTAGGAACTAGCCACTAGCTCTGCCCAGTTTGGCCTCTGGCCCTGCCTACCATTATCATGTGGCCCTTGGAAAATTGTCCAGAAGGGAATGAGGCCCTTGGGTTGAAGGTTCTGGACCCCCTTGCTGATGTAAATTTAGCAGGCTAGTTGGAACCTGACATTCAAGATGGCCCCGGCCTTGCTAATATACTTACAGCACATCCTTGTGCATGTTTTCTCATCAATAGTCTCCATTGAGTCCAATGGGCCTACATAGGTAAGTATGTAAAGCACAAGCATATCCTCTGTGAGGAAGGCCAGTCACTGGCTCTGGAGCTTTGAGGTTAAGGCAGCAATGTTTTAAATTATAAGCAGCCATTTCTATTCCAGGGGCAGGTTCCCATAATTTCTGGCTTCCCCTGGTGCTCAGGCCTGAGCTTTGCTTTGCCTCTTGCTGCTTCTTAGATTAGCTTTCCTGGAGACAGGCTCAGGGGAACTAAAGGGGTTTTTAAAAAATATTACAAGGCATCTCAGCTTATCTCAATAGGTGATTGCTATTCAGCGCTCAGAGCCAATCTGAGACTTACTTCCGCACACTTGCAGAGCAAACTGTTTCTATAATTCTGACAGGGCCACGTAGTTTAGAACGAAGCTCCTGCTGTCAGAGTTTACTCTCTGGATTCATTAGAATGGGCCGGGTAGTTTTGCAGGAAGACTTCTTGCCATGCTCTTCTGCTGAGATTGTGCCGCTATGCAATTGCTTGATCAGAATCCTGCAGGAATGTTATCAGGCTGGTCTCAGCGGCTTTAAGTTCTGGATTTTATTGCCAGAGCGCCGTGTTCGCATCGTCACAGTACTTGGGCCTCCTGCTGGTTTGCAGGAATTGCCTTCAACCTCTTGCTGCTCTCAGAAACATTCCTGCTTTATTGCCCGGCTGCATCCAGATGACTCACAATTCTCTGCCTGTGGTTCTGGGTTGATTTCCCCTCAATCGTCTTTACTTCACATTTATTTGCTTTTGTGTTTCTGGTAAGCCCATCTGACCAACCTAGGATCAGCAGAGTGTCAGGTCTGTCAGGGAAGGAGAGGGGCAAACACCAAGAGTGGGGAATTTTTTTCAGGGCCGCATTCTCTCATAGGCAAACTTCCTGGGACCACATCAGTGGTAGATGGGGTGACAGGCAGCAGACCTAACTGTACAGTCTAAGTGACACAAAAGTCAGAATGCTACACACACACACACACCTCCATTCTCTATCCAGACAGGTAAAGGTGTTATCATAGTTCAAGAACCCATTACGGCAGGTAAAAGTATTGGAAGAGGCTAGTGAGAGGTGGCATGGCCTGAGGAGACAGAGGCCTAGATGGCCACAAATTCCCCCGCTGGGCCTGAGTTTCTCCATTCCTGGTGTATACCTCCATAATCTGCCAATCAATGCACTGTTTCTTGCATCTTACAATCTCTAGTTTCCTTTATTGTCCAGGCCAGATTGGTGACCCACTTGCGTTAGAACCGCTAGGCTGTTTAACTTTTCTATCTAAACTAGGATTATGTTCAAGCCACGTGGACGTAAACTTGTTACATTCCTCCAAGGAGCTCAAGGCAGTCTCCATTTTATCTTCACATCAGGTAGCTCAGGTTGAGAGATAATACTTAGTTGAGAGATAAAGTAGGTTAAGTCGAGAGATAATTCTGGCCCAAGGTCAGTCGGTGAACTTCATAGCTGACTGGGGATTTGAACCTGGGTCTCCCTAGTCCTGGTTTGATGCTGTAACCAGTACACAGCATGTATGGAGTAACCAAAACAGTACTTGTATGGCTGTAGTTGGTGAATTTGTCCCATTTTCTCTCCAGCTACAATTCTTTGATTCTATGATAAGTGTCCCCATCTGTGGATACTGGGTGGGTTGATGGAGCAGATACCTTTAAACCTTGCACCATGCCCTCTTCTTCCTGTTATTTCTTCTAGCATAATAATCCTTATCAGTGCGTGCCTTATGGCAATTGGAGCCGTTCCAAGCAAAAAAATCTGATTTCCCCTCCAACTTGTGCAGTAATTGGTTGTTGTGGGTGGTATCCAATTAAGTTTTACTTAAAGCAGAACCATTAAAATTCATGAACATGACTAAGTCCATTAATTTCAATAGGTCTACTCTGAGTAAAACTTAGTTGAATAACACTGTGACCCAAATAGACAAGAGGATCTAATTGCTTCAGAATCCAGTCCACTAACAGGCAAGGTATCTTCTTTCTAGAGCTGCTATCTTCTAACAGTATAAGGTTGCTTTTAGCCATTCTGCAGATGGGGGAATTTCAGCAGGTACATTTTCCAGTTCTGTTCAACGCTATTCTTTCCACTGCTGCTTCGGTACTATCTATCCACACAGCTGCTTTTTCTTTCCCCTTCCTGCATTAATTATATGGGTTAAGCCACAGTATCAGAGATCTTGTGGCATAAACCGGATGGCATCATGGATGACAGATAGCCCATCAGAGCTACAATTTCCAGAGTTCTTTGGGAAGAGGGATTGATTGTTAAACGTCTCTGGAAACTATGGCTCTGCGAGGGGAATAGAACTTTTCTAATAAGCAATGACTGTGTTTTAAATGTATGATGTGAATGTGGCCATGGCCATATTTTATGTAGGATGCACATGACAAAATGGCAGCTTGGAAGTGACCACACAGTGGATTTTTGGGCAAGGAATGTCAACCTTGAAATAATCTATGCAATTTGTCCTTTTTGGCACAGGTTCATTGTTCAGTTTGTAGAATAACATGAAACACATTTTATATGAAACCAGTTGTCTTTAGCCCTATTCAGATGTTTGAGGGTTAAAAGTGTGTAGAGGGGCACGCAGGCAAGCCCTATCCCCTCCACCCAGACCCAGACTCACTGGATCAGTAACCAACCAGTCATGGCTCTGGTTCCAAGCTCCTTTCCTGTTCTTTCCCTCCCCTCCCCTCCCTTCCCTGAATCTTCTCTGTGCTGTCTGCCATCTGCAGCAATTGCATAAGAGATGCTTCTCCTGGGTGCCACTTGCTTGAGTGGGGCCTTTTATTACAAGGTGAAGAGTAGTGTAATCCCAGATCTCTTTGGGCGTCCTTCATTCCAGGAGTGATGACAGGCCTGTAACTCTGCACTGCATCGCTCAGGCTTGGAACCTGAATTTCTGATACACGTTTTTCTTCACTGGCCTTGAGAAGTGCCATAGCAGGAGGGCAGAGAGAATGTCAGACAGTTAATTGCAAACATCTGGCTCTTTTACACTGTAGTTTTCCTTGGCGTGGAAGCAGCATTTTAACCAAGGCAGGAAGGTGAAGGTTTGGTGTCTCACAGCTAGTATTTGAAAGCTTTCTTTTCCACTTAGCAGCAAGGAAACAAGAAAAGCACCAGTGGGTTGCTCAAAGAGAAATTGCTGTGACAGTGGCTCATTTCTGTGTGGTTAGGATCCTTCTTGGCTAATGTGAAATAATTAGACAAGTGAAGGGATCACGTTGAAAACTGAAATAAAGTCTGCATTCATAGTTAATACAACAAGATTTTTAATTTTTTGTTTGAACTGCAGAGGCTGCTTCGTTAGAACAAATGGGGCACTGCTCCGCTTGCCTGCCTTCTTACTTACAAACAGTCTGGGGGGTGTGGGGTGGTATTGCCTGTCAGCTTCCCTTCCTTAGTCTCAGTTTTACCTTTGAAGAGCACAATAGGGAAGAGGATTGGGTCAAAACTAGAATTCACTGGCTCTGCCTGTCATTGTCTCTGGCTCTACCTACCATTTGCCTCCCTAATTTATGCCCCACCAGTTCAAATGGGCACCAGTCATCACTATGTTTAATAGCACTCCTGTTGAGGCTAGAGGAGGAAAGATGCAAAATTGATTGTAATGAGGTATCTGCTAGGGCAGAGGCCTCTTGGAATACTGTCCTTCACTAGTATGCAAAGAGGTATTAATGGGGATGCTAAACAATGTTGTGTATGCAGTGGAGACTCTAAAGGGTGTTCATGGGTCTTTCTTGGGACATCATGGTCATTCTTCATGGTGGAAGGATGCAAAGAATGCTCTTGGCAACACCTTACACCCAGACACAGATGGATTCAAAGCCACTCAGTGTGGGGCTTTAAACTCTTTGAATGGTATTCAGAAAGAGAGAGCACTTGAAAAGTCTGGCTCAGTTAATATATAATCTGGAAGCAGGTATGAACCATGCAGTTATTCATAGGAAAAGAATTAGGAGAGATAGCAAGGCAGGCAGAGTAATTCAAAGAGAGAAAGGGGCATCTAGAGAGTAGAATCGGCCAGGAAATAGAGCTTTTCCATTCTCATTCCCCTGATCAGGTAGGTAGGCTCCTGAGAAATGTTAGGCCTCAGGGAAAGTAGTGTCCATGGCACCTATTTATTAGCTCCCTTTATCCCAGTAGTGGATAGCATGGTGGGGCAGTGGCATTTCTTGACCTTCTGACCACTGAGTCACTTATACTTACTAAGAAGGAGAGGGACGAGGTGGTGGAGTGATCGCACTGCACCATCCTCTTTTATTATTGTTTCTTTTATTAGTTTATGATGTTAATTTACATTACCTTATCGGTATTGTTTTCTCCAATGTCATATGGTTTGGGTTTTGTTTGTTTGTTTACTTATTGATATTATGATGGTTTCTATTTTTTCTAATTTAAAAAAATTGTTTAACTTATTGTTCCTTGGATATGTTGTGAGCCACTTATGGCAAAATTTTGTGGGAAAGTGGTTTATAAATAGATGATGATCTGCTTCTGAGCTTTCCAGACGTGTTTGGCTGACTGGGCACTGTTGGGAGAGGGGTAGTGAACTAGCACTTCAAATTAACAGTTTTGCTATGGTCTGATCAAACAAAGCAGTTCTGATTTTCGTATAGAGTACATGTACATTTTAAAAAATGGCCCCTACTTTAATTTGTGAGAAATGCAAGTATTGGAGGCCAATCATCACGCTCCTTCATCCACCTCCTTACTATGTCTGGAAAATTTATCAACTCTGAAAAAAATAAAAAGTGTTAAGTAGTTTATTATCTTTTCTATTGTTGTCAATGGAAAAGACAATTGCTTCAGCGAAGGCTTTGAGGTGACTCTCTCAGATCCAAGTATTATTATTATTTTTCCTGTACACAGTCCTGTTCCCAGTGTCAGATGTGCGGAACCTTTGACCCTCCATATGTTGCTGAACTACAACTCTTGTCAGCCCTAATAATAATAATAAATAATAATAAATTATTTGTACCCCACCCATCTGGCTGGGTTACCCAACCACGCTGCGTGGCTTCTAGCATGTATACAAACACAGTAAAACATTAAACCTAAAAAAGCTTCCCTATACTGGTCTGCCTTCAGGTGTTTCCTAAATGTTATATAATTACTCATCTCCTTAACATCTGATGGGAGGGCCTTCCACAGGGTGGGTGCCACTACCGAGAAGTCCCTCTGCCTGATTCCCTGTAGCTTCACTTCTTGCAGTGTGGGAACCGCCAGAAGGCCCTTCATGCTGGATCTCGGTGTCCAGGCTGAACAATGGGAGTGGAGACGCTCCTTCAGGTATACAGGACTGAGGCCATTTAGGGCTTTAAAGCATCAGCACTTTGAATTGTGCTCGGAAACATACTGGGAGACAATGTAGGTCTTTCAAGACCAGTGTTATATGGTCTCGGCGGCTGCTCCCAGTCACCAGTCTAGCTGCTGCTTTCTGGATTAATTGTAATTTCTGAGTCACCTTCAAAGGTAGCTCCATATAGAGCACATTGCAGTAGTCCAAGCAGGAGATAACCAGTGCATGTGGCCAGTGGCCACGGATGATGAAAGTTGCAGCAACATTGGGAGCACCAAAGGTTCCCTACACCTTCCCTATGTTGGCATAATCATAGTGATTCACTTTCCCCATCCACCAGATTAACAATGAGTTAAGGACGCTTTCCAGTTTAGAAACGATACTGAGGTACTTTCCAAAATGCATTCTTCTCTCTCTTTGAATTATATACAGTAGCATCATATCATTTTTGCTAGTACAAATCCCCTCCAGCCTTATTCACATTTCACTTTTTAATTTTACCCCTTTGTTCCTGGGATGCTCCCTAACAAACTTTCCCACTCGCCTGAGGCTTCCTGAGATCACAGCTTGAAGATAGTGATGGGGAGTTTACCAGTTCCCATTAAGGCAGTGCTAGATTAACCTCCTCAGTTGCACCCATTCTTTTTATCCAGTCTTATCCTCCTCCCTTCTCCCAATTCTCAGTCAACATCAAATCCATCAGTTCTGTCAAGGAGTAGTTTCGGTGTTAGCTTCACAGCAACATCCTGTAGGTTTCCAATCCCTTCCTGGCAGAGATGGCTGATGGGTCAACATCAAACAGCAGCCAAGACAAACACTGCAGTCGGAAGGACCTGACATGCCTGTTTAGCTGTCCAACCACCTCACGACATCTCCAGGTGATGGGCCAGTTTCAGTGCTAGGATTAAAGTGGATATAGAGTTTGGTAAAATAAGAGAATGTGAAGGGATAATTATGTCCTTGGGGAGTTGGGGAACTTGGCAGCAGCCCAGTGCAGGGATTACGGGCTGATAAGGTCTCCTTCATTCTCACTCTCAAGCAATACATGAACCAGAAGTGGGAAAGTCTGTCTTTTCCATAGCAAGATATGGAGGAATGCATGATGATGTGGAAAGGTGAAGGTGGGAGTCAAGAATTCCCAACACTTCAGTGGTCTGCTTGCAGGAAAATCACAATAACAATAAGGACTGCTAAGTGTCAGCTTTCCACTGGAGAGGCATATGGAGACAGTCTAGTGATATGCGCTGGAAGCTGAAATACTTTGCATATATCCACCACATATTGTCATGCAGAGATTCCAAAGCATAGCCTCTACAAAAGCAGACATGTTCCATGGCCTCTGCTTTCCAGATTGTGAGGGTCCTGGACAGGGCTGGCCCACCTATTAGGTGCAGTGAAGCTACCTCTTCAGGCAGCAGAAGCCCCTGAGGCAACACCAATTTCTCCTAAGATCTCACAAGATCTTGCTGAAATCATGTGAAACCTTGCAGAGGGTTCACTGGAAATTGGCACTAATGCCAGTGCTGTTTCCCTGCCAGCGGTGGAGATGGCAGAGTGAGTAATGTTATGGCAGCAGTGGCAGGGCAGGGCAGCACTTTCTGTTTCTGGGACACACAACCCCTAGTCCTAGACAGCCATATCACATCAATACAGTAGAGAAGGGATAATCAGCATAAAACACTATCTCACTCTGCTTTTCCAAAAGCTTTGGCAAACAGGTGTGTCTTGACCTGCCGACAAAAGAAATCTGATTGTGTCCAACTTCAGCACAATTCCTTTTAAAATATGCTCTTTCTGGGATTAGCAACATTGTTATGTAGCCAATCAGATTGGACTATGTGAAGATGGTACTACCGTCAAAGAAGCCTAACAACAACAACAGCATTAACAATTATAATAGAAGAAGAAGAAATGTTTTTATTAAAGTTTTCACAATGTAATTAAAAGAACAAACTAATCTACAAGAAACAAAGAAAAGAAAGAAACTAAAAAAAAGAAGAAGCAGAAACTACAAAATCCTCTTTCACCACTATATCTTAACTTTCATCCCCTACACAGGTTCATCCCTCTCTTCTCACAGCCTCTCACCTTGTGAGATCTCCCCATACCCGCCTTTCACCCGGGTCCTCAAACTGTCCTTCCACTTTTATTCAGTCCTTACCAAAATACAACAGGAGAAGCCAAGTTAGAGTGGGGATAAAACTTCACTTTAAGCATGCAAATAATTTCATGCTCTTTTGGATCAGCCTTGCGCAACAATCAATCCTTAGCAACAGCCTGAATTTTCTTCCTAAGCATATTAAGAATCAGAATAAGGTTTAAAGGGATTTGTAAAGTCCGCTTTCAGCTTCCTGATCTGGCTGTGACTGAGGACACATCCAAAAGATCCTTTTCATTTCCTATGTTGCTTTCTGTCTTCTTCGGTCATTAAATTGAAATGCATCACCCCTTCCCCATGGCTCCCAGTTTCTGTGCTTCTCAGTGTTTATTATGTCTAAACCATTATTATTAAATTCCTGGGCAGGGGATAGGGGATAGGGGGATGGGGTGGTGGTATAAGCAGACTGTATAAAATAAGATACATTTATGGGAAATATAATCAAAGTAATACAAACAAGATTTCCATTCTAAAACCTGAATTTTCTTGTAACAGGATTTCTGATATTTACATGTGGTTAAGAATTCTTAGGCCTTTAGAGAGCAATGTCATAAGGGCTGGGTAAAAAACACAGCAGAGGCTGGAGTGGCAGCTGGGGTGAGAGTCCTGGGTCTTTTCATGGTTCTGTTATAATAAACTCCTTTAAATTTGGGGTGCTGAGCCTTGTCAAAGATTCACAATCTAAGATGATAGTAATGCTCATGTCAGATCTCAGGGCTCTATATGACTTGGCTTTAAACTCATACATGATGGCCGAGAAGGCAGGGCAAGGAATGGGTGCTGCTGCTTTAGCAGCTTGGCTTGGGATAGCTGACCTTGGCTCTCGGGAACCAGTTATTAATGATGTTTCCACCCTCCCCATTTGGGCATAAACATTAGAAAGCTCGGTAGAAATCCTTTCTGACTGTTACAATAACAAACACTTATTATGAAGGCATTTGTCATTGCAGTGAAGAAGTGCTGGTCAGAAGAGAGCCAGTGTGGTGCAGCGGTTAGGGTAATGGACTTGCGTCCTGGGAGACAAGAGTTCAAACTCCTGTTCAACCAGGAAGCTTGGGCCAGTTACCGTCTCTCAGTTTAACTTACTTCATAGGGTTGTTGTGAGGGTAAAATGGGAAACAGGAGAACCATGTACATTGAGATCCTTGGGGGAAAGATAGGATATAAATGTAAAAATAAATAAAATATAAACAAACAAATAAAAGACACATGAGGCCACCATGTTACTGAAGCCAAACAGGTCTGGGCAGTGCCTGGATGGGTGACCTCCTGGGGACTACATGGGAACATTGGGTTTCATAACAGATGAAAGATGGGGATATATATGAAACAAATATAGATACTGTATGACTGGGATTGCTATGGGTTTTTTTAACTTGATTTTTAATCAACACTACAAGGAATAGGCCATCAAGCAATAATAAAAGCTTGGGCATTTAGGTAAATAAGTAAAAAGAACTGGGCAGGTGGCAGACTGTGATGTGGAGCTGTCAACTTTTCAGGAAGCAAAACCCTGGTTACCTGAAAGAAAAGTTTCTAACAACAACAACAACAACTGATTTGTACCCCGCCCATCTGACTGGGTTGCCCCAGCCACTCTGGGCCAGCAGAGGTTTCTTACTTTACAAAGAGAGGTACAATTGCTGGGGATCTAAAGCAACACTTTCATTCTCTTTTGCCTGAGGGCCAGCTCTTAAGTGGAAACACTGATACATGAAATTCATAGCAGACAAAGCTCCCCCGCCCCCAACAGAACAGAGAAAAGGCTAATTGTCAAGCCTTCTTGTGGTAGGTTCTGTGAATGACATAATCACAAGGTTTCAAACAAATGCCTGCCTCTTACATCACAAAACAGAGGTGACACAGATGGGTTGCCACCTCAGCCACCCAAAGATCAGCTGGGACTGATGGGATTTGTAATCCAAACTTCCTAAGGGCACTAGGACGGGGAAGGCTGTCATAGAAGAACTGGCTCACTTTATCCTGGGGAAAGCACTTCATTTGTACTGAGAAACATTACATTCCCCAAAGCCTGTTTCTGAATTCAATTTTTCTGCAATCGCTTTGCTGGACAAATAATCTGACGCTGGGTTTATGATTATTTAACACATCAAAATCCCCAGTGCTGCTTCTTTACTCTCTCTCTCCCGGAAAAGAGCTATTTGATAGTGCATATTTACACATTCCCATTTTTCTTTTTTTCTGGCGTGGAAGGAGCAACCAAATCTCTGTTTCCTTCTCTTATTCTGCAGCAGTCAGGAGGGAAGAAATATTTAGGAACTTGCCATACACAACCAGCAACATGATCCTGTCCCCCTGCTCCTCAAGTATGACTCTCCTGTAGATAAATTTCATTGCTCTAGCAGGACATATAATTAAAGCTCTGGATCTGACTCCAAACACCATGGACTGTCAAAAAAGAAAACCCACAGAGGCTATTTTGGCACAAGAGTTGTCCTGTAAAGCCTTTTCTTCAATGGGAATACCATTCTGAGTAAAACTTCACCTGCTGAAGTTTCCATTCCAACTGCAAAGCATGTAGATTTATATGTGACACAAAGCTAAGCACATGCAACTTTGTCTCCACTTTTGCAAGTGGGGAAGAGGCCAATCCAGATGCAGTGTACTTGGAAACAGAAAATCCTGCTGGCAATCCCCCCCTTAAAATGCTATTGATTGAATAAGGACTTACTTCCTAATAAGAATGGTTAACTGTTCAGATCCAAATGTCCTGACTTACTGAGTTCAAGTCAAAACTCTGGTGAGAGATTTAGAATTAATCTGCTATAGGATCCAGGCGATCTATATTAAAATTAATTTTCTACCTTTGACTCAAACCTACCTAATTAAATGGCCCATGGTAGTTCTATTAGGACAGCATAAAGGCAATAATTTCTGCAATTAAAATACAGTGGTACCTCGGGTTAAGAACTTAATTCGTTTTGGAGATCTGTTCTTAACCTGAAACTGTTCTTAACCTGAAGCACCACTTTAGCTAATGGGGCCTCCCGCTGCTGCCACGCCGCCGGAGCACAATTTCTGTTCTCATCCTGAAACAAAGTTCTTAACCCGAGGTACCATTTCTGGGTTAGCGGAGTCTGTAACCTAAAGCGTATATAACCTGAAGCGTATGTAACCCGAGGTACTACTGTACCTGCTTTAGAAGAATTAACTTTTTACACAAAATCTTTCAATTTATACAATATCAGTTAATGAATGGCAAAACTTAGGATAAATTTGACTGGAACAACGAAAAAGCAGGAATCTCCAAGAAGGAGGCACTGCTCTGCCTGGTTCATTGAGTTGTTGCTGCTGCTGTTATGCTTTTCAACATAATGCTCTTTAAACCAGCCTTTAGGAAAAAGAAATTTTTTTAATTGGGAAGATTTAAAACCTCAACATACTTTAATCCCTTTGCAGATTAAAAAGAAAGAAAGATTACAGGGAATTAAGAAACATGTTATCATAAATTAGATTTTTAAAGTTTGGGATAAATATTTAAGTATGTACTAAGATCAAGCTTTGTTGAAAAAGCCTCAGCTATACATAATGCATATGCATAAATCCACTCTTGTTGAACATAATATCTTTAAAGAATGGGAAGCAAGAGATATAATTCAATTCAGGGATTTAATTAAAAATAATAAGTTTCTTCCCTATGAGGAACTAATAAAATGAATAGAAGTATATCAACTTCAATTGTGCAATGTGTAGATATCAAATAATTATTTCTATATTATTGGTTGAGACCACCCACTTGATTTTAAAATGTACTCATACACTCAGAGGCAAAGGACGTTTTGATGAATATCTACTGATATTTCTATGTAAGTATGAGTCCTACACTTGCATTGATAAATGGAAAAAAAGATGGAACAAAGCACAGACCAAGGGATTTCTTTGGCAGCAGGGCCTCCTTATGCATACTATGTACTTATCTTCTGCTTTGTCTGTGGGAGGGCTTGTTATAATCTGCTGATGCAGTTTTCCCATATTTCAGGGTGCCGCTCTGCTCCCCGCCCCCATGTTTGAGAGTTCTTTGTGCATCTTAGAGTCATACTTTGAAATACGGTCTCCTATTTGGTAACCTTGCTCTGCTTCTGTGTGTATAGTGCCATGTCCTTGCAGCTCCAGTTACAGGAATGGAACTGAGTTTGGAGACGGTTGGCTTATCTACACCTAACTTTTGCCCTGCACTTTCCAGGCATAGACTGGCATTTTAAAGCCCCCTGTCTGAGCACTCTCTTTCTCTCTCTTCTTTGGCTTTGGAGCTTTCCCTGTGAAAACTTGCTCTTTAAAGCTAAAGTACAACAAACAGCAATTTGGGGTTTAGGTGGACTGCAGTTTGCTCTGATTCAGTGGTAAAGAGCGCATTTTCACAGGAAAAGCTCCAGAACTTTATATGATTTATGCTGCGTGTGTGATGTTCTATTATGTTCTATCATATTATTATTAGTTATTGTTTGTAAGCCACTTTGGGATTCATTTGAATGAAAAGTGGCATAAAAATATAACAAATCAAATCAACCAATTTCATATTTTGCTGCTAGCCTTGGTTCTCTGTTGCTTGTGCAAGGTGTTCTGTTTGTGCTGAGTTCCCCATCACCAAATTTCCCCTTATATCCCCTTTAAGAACATAAAGAGGAGCTTGCTGAATCAGGTCAATGGCCCCACTAGTCCAGAATCCTGTTCTCACAGTGGTCAGCTAGATGCCTATGGGAAGCCCTTCTGCAGGGGTGAAACTAGGCTTTCTTTCACCTGGGTCAAAGACCCAGTTTGGCATCACTCATGTGCATCTGCAAACACACACACACAAGCTGGGAGCGTCAATGGTGCCCCTCTGGAGGCTTTACCTGGGGCAAAAACCCCGGCTAGTCCTCCCCTTCCAGTTATAGCACTGCTTTCTGTAGACCTAAGAACAGCTCTATGTGTTTGTGTTCTCTTGCCAGGGCTATATATTTTGAATAGTGTGCTGTGATTAGGTTCTTCTTAAGTTTAAATACCGTAACTCATTGTGTATTGACGGGGAGGGGGGGTGCGTAGCTGATGTCCAGCTGGGGCACTTGACGTGCTTCATCAATGATTTCTATGGCTATGCATTTAGTTAGTGGTAGTGGTTTGGTTAGCAAAACGTATGCCAGCTGGGGAGAATGAATTTTGGATAGAATTCAGACTAAACTGGACATTTCCCTGATTCTTAATCTCCATCTCTGCCCACATTTTATGTGTATCTCAGACCTAAACAGGTGTAAATAGATAATTAGCTGGTAATCCTAAGGTGGGGGGGAGGAGCAGCAAGGAGCAGTTCATGAGAAAGTTTCTTGTTTTCCTTTGTCTTTGCATTTTTTTGCAGTTCAAATCAGTGTGTGGGGTGTGTGCGCGTGTGAACCAAAATCCATCAGTTGCCTATATATATATATATATATATATATATATATATATATATATTGCTTTTGTTACTCTTTGTTCAGTTACTGGGACAACTAATAGCTCATCATGTTCTTGTTTAATGGCAAGAACTGTATTTCCACCTTCTAATTATACACTGCACTATCTGAAATGTACTAATCTTGAGAAAAATTCACTAGACCAGAAAATTTCACCATTGCAGTATCTTACAATGTTTAGTGTTTTTTTTAATGTACTGCAAAAGTATACAAAATGTGATTTATGTTTTTACCACAAGTGTCAGTATTCTTATGAATGAAGACTGATAGATTTCCAGACCTGTTATATAAATCACCCGATAAAACTATGCTGAAGAGTCCTGACTATAAGTCATTTCCAATATTCAACCACTAAACCATTCAAAATAAAGTGCTTGTCTCTTGACCTTCAGATGGGGGGTGGGGGCTATTCTGTTCCCCACCCCCATCTTCTTTCTCATTCATTTACCTTGTTTACTTCTTTCTTAAAACATTAGTTTTGTACATTTTGAAACCTTCTCCACCCTCTATAGTCCAATGTTCTAATCTTTTTTCTTGCAGTTTCTAATCCTCACTAAACCCTTTATTTGTGCTTCACTTCTAACTCCCTTGCCATATTCAACAATGCCAATCTCTCTTCATTCCTTTTCTTAATCAGGAATGAAATTTTTATTAATGAATAACCCCTGAACAAAAGCTTTAGTCATGTTCCACACAGCCATTAAATGTACCTCCTCTGTTTTATGTATTTGGGGTGGATGATGGGTGGGTAGCAGCCCTCACTTACAACAACCTTTCTCTTCCAGTAAAGTAAAATTAATGGAATATCCACACATTCCCATTTGGAGAGAAAGCATATTTAAAAATTGACAGATGTCTGCTCCTACGGCCAGGTAACCAACCACAGACATATTGATTGCATGAACTCACTCTCAGACTAGATATACACTGTCCCTCAAGACCAATGACCTTCACCAAACTGGAGACTTAGGACTTATCCAGACATATAAGCCCCAAACCTTCAAAGTATTTAACTGGTACAGCACAGCATGCAACCCAAAAGGGAAAGTGTTTTAAAGGCTTTTGGGCTTTGTGACTTCAAAGCAACCCCCTTCCTGCTGGGCCCCTGCTAAACTGTCAGCTACAATTCAGCACTTGGCTATACTTCCTCTACCTTTTTTTTTTTAGAAGTGCAACTTCACCAGGGGCAGCTTTCTGTATTTCTGTTTTCTGCCTGGCTCCAATCTGCACCGGTAATCTTCAAACCCCAAACCAGGGGGTAGGCGTGAGAATTGCAGGAGGCCACAAATGGAACTGAGGAAAGCCAGCCCTGTCAGGATTGTGCCCTGATCCCTTTTGCAGGGTTTTCCAATCAAATGTGGAAATACAGCTGAATGTTCTCAAAAGGCATGCAGAATGAAAAGAGACTGGCTTTTCCAGGAAGAATAGTTGTGCTGTGGGAGGACCACTTGCTTACTGACCCCTTACTGTGCTGAGAAGATCTAAATGCTGGGGCAGGCCAGATTTTGATCCTCTTGAAACAAATGGGTTAATTTGGAGACAGTGATCTGGATCTTACACAGGCACTGATTTAGCAGGTACACAGATGTTCATTGTAAGAAAGGGGCCAGAAATAGAGCCCCTCAGAGGAGCCTGTTCAGTCTAGTGATGGTGCTGTCACATACACAAGTAAGGTAAAGGTAAAGGACCCCTGGATGGTTAAGTCCAGTCAAAGGTGACTATGGGGTGCGGCACTCATCTTGCTTCACGCCAAGAGAGCCGGCATTCGTCCATAAACAGCTTCCCAGATCATGTAGCCAGCATGACTAAACTGCTTCTGGTGTAATGGAACACCGTAACAGAAGCCAGGTCCACGGAAACGCCATTTACTGTCTTCCCAGTAAAGGTAGCACAATCAGCAGCTTATAGCTTATGTCACAGACAAGTCCCATTCGGGACATCCAACCCATTTTAAACTAAGCTTGTGCCCTTAGCTTCTGCATCAGAACTTCTGAATATAGCCTACATAGATACGAATTGCACGCACAGAGGCTCTGGGTTATATCCAGCAAAGTTCTACTCACTGGGAGACAATGGAGTGCACCCTTGGGGGTGAAGTCAAACCACTGCATTAGCAGCACCAAAATGACCTCCCCATGACACAAGCCTGGGCAGTGTGTATGGAGGTCCTGGGCTGCCCAGACAACAACACCCCCTCTCGGCTTCACTGATGTGGTGCAAAGGAAAGCAGAGCAATATGTTTGGCACCAGCAAGGCTGCAAGAGTTGCCAAAAGAGGCGTACAAAGTGCCATACAAATTGTCTTAGGGACTCCAATCCTGATTTGTGTAGGGTTTACTCCTTAGCCTTTTCTTCTCCCAAAGATATCCTGCAATGCAGCAGAGGTTTAGGGTCAGAGTTTTCCTTCTCCGAGATGGGCTACCTTCTCAGGTTGACGAGCCCCATCTGCCCTCACTTCCTCACAGCATGTGCAGAAACTGCCTTCTTGATGATTGGACCCACTATTGGTGTTGTCCGCTCAATCTACTGGAGCCTCTCTTCGCATGCAGGCGAAGTCCCTAACTCACCAAGGGTGTGAGACCTATCGGCTACCCTCACTGACCTATCTGGCCAGTTGAAGCCATTTCCTGGTGTGTGGCCGCTGTCACACACTGACAGTTTCTAGGAGCCACAGATGAGAGCTGAGTGCAGGGTGGGGACCAAAGCTGGACAAACTACCCCAGAAGGAGCATGGTGTGTCTCCCGCCAGAAGTACTACCACTCCCCTAACAATCCATACAGACAGTATACCCACTGAAATGAATGGGCCTAAGTTAATCACATTCATTTATACCAGACCAAGAAAGGGCTCATTGTAGTCCTTCTTTGTGAAGTATAAATACCGTCAAAAATATAGGAAGCACCTGACACAGCTGACAGCAATTCCTAAGGCATAAGAGTCTGTCCCGGATGAACATTAAATACACAAACGATTACCCTGGGTGAGGAAAATGTGGTAGCTGCCTATGCAAGGGGAAGGTTGGAGAGCCAGGCTTTTCAACCTCACTGTTTCCCATGGGCTGAGAACCTGTATCAGCAGCTAAAACACTTACGGTAAAACTACATTTGTCCTCTAGGCAGGGTTTAGTAATAAAAATAAGATCAGAAACTTCTCCTCTGACTCAATCACTCATGCTATTTGTTTTATCTCATACACACCCTCACTTTTTGCTGATTATGGAGAGAACCAAAGAACGAAACAAACAGATTAGGAGAATCAGTGCAACAGAATGGAAGTGGGCTTGCTAAACTGAGAGAAACACAGCTTGTTTGCCCTTATCCAGCCAGGCACCAATTTAAGCTGCCATTTTGAATGCAATGAGGCAGTGGTGGGCTCTCAAATTCCAGCAGCGCCCTGTGCAACGCCAAATCCCGCCCCCCCCGGCTCTCATGCTCAATTCTTCAGCAGTGTTGCGGTGCCTCCTGCAGCGCAGTAACCAGTGCGGCCGCCCCACTTGCACTACCCTAAAACTGCCTCTGAATGAGGGCCAAATCACAAACGATGCCTGTATGATGGTGGTGATTATTTTTTTAAAACCTGCCCCTCCTCTCCAGAGCAGCTCAAGATGGCAGACAGCACCATGATAAAAGCAATAAACATTTTTTTAAAAAAATAAAAACCAAACACCCTCACAACAAGTAATTTGAAAGTTGCCAGAAACAATATATTCCACTCTTTTACATGACATATTTTTCTCTTTAAAATGTAGCTATGGAGGCTGAAACATAAAGTGGAAAACCCACGTGAGACACTTCTTAACTTTTCTCCCTCTGGCATTTTCCTCCCTCCTCCATGCAGATCTTCTGGTTTTGAAGGCACTCTTTGTAAAAGGTGTGGGGGAGTCATTAGCAAACTACCTTCAACTGAGTATCACATGTAGTGTGGTCGCTTGCTAGTGGAAGTAATCACCATTGAAATCAATGGGGATTTAGGATTGCATTTAGGACAAAAGTGCTAGATTAACTGCTGTTCGCTAGCATGGCTGAGTTCCCTGAATAAGCACTTGCAATGGGCTAAGTAACCTCACCAGGTGGTTTTGTCTCTATATAGGTAGTGAGACAGAGCCATATTGATCTGTGTCAAAGGAACCTGCTGCAAATGAACAGTCATTTCAGCATGTCCTGAGTCACTCAGCCATATGTGAAAAAGCAAATTGGTTCAAGAATGAGGACACAGGGGTGCAGTGTGAATCGTTTTGCAATTAATGGCTTGCTCACACTGTCCACCCACAGCGCCCCATGTGATAATGATCCTATTTTGGTTTTCAATAGACTCTTTCAAATCCTCACCTATATAAGATTTTTTCTCACCTCATGTTCCTAAGACTTAGGATATATTTACCCCTTTTCATCCCCCCCCCCGCCCCTCCATGTTCTACTTACCACTTTCTAATTTCAGTGCCATTTGCACAATACCTTTAAAAAACCGAAGAGAATTGTGGAATCTCTTTGACTCTCCCCAAACCCACCACTGCCTGCAGTTCTATGCTGAGCAGGGAGGGCTCATCACCTCTTGTTGTTCGCTTGTCTAGATGCATTAGCTTCATCTTGGTGCTTTGTGTAGAGGAGGAGCTGTAGAAAGAGCATGAAGGGGGTCTAATGAGCTCTTAATCACTTTACTTCACTTTACTTCACTCTGGCAGCAAAGGTGCTCTTTCATCTTGCTTTATTGGACAGGGGGTTGTTACACTGTGAAAGGCAGCCTCTGGGGCAATGAGATTTTTCCAATCCCACCCTGTGACTTGTTCCTTGAGGATGAAGACTGTGCTGCCAAATTTCAAATATCCAAAGTAAATAAACATTGTTTGGCTCTGGGGGCCTGCTTTGTGAAGTCCTACGCCCCAGAAATAAAGGATCTTCTCCTTTATGTTCTACTTTCCTAGATAATGAGACAGCCCTTAAAATAGGGAACTTCTGGCAACCTCACCAAAAGGTAACCAGAGAATATGACACAGATAGCCTGAATTCAGCAAACATCATTGATGGGAATTCAGAATGTGCGGGAGGGGAACCAGAATCTGCAATCTATGCTGTGAAACGGTATGTTATAGAAATTAGTGATCAATGTAACAAAAATATATTATTATTTAATTATTTCTATCATGGCCCACAAAAAACAACTTTTCAAAGGTGGGTTAGAATCATAAATGGCAAGAAAAAAAATCACAAAAAGTTCAAACAAAACAAATTTAAAAACCAAACAGCAGCACAGGAGTAGATAAAGCAGCTTGTCTTTCCCCTCTTCCCATAGGGAAGGCCAAAATTGCTACTTGTTTAGAATTCTGCAATGTGTCTCTCTTGTTCCCTGAGTAAAGGGCATCACAACAAGAAAATAACAAATGTTTTTCACAGGTATATGCAAGATCATGCCAACATGGATGGGAACAAGATATTACTACAGCATATCAGTGGTGAAATTAAACTTTAAAGCCATGGTTTTCCCAGTAGTGATGTATGGAAGTGAGAGCTGATAAAGAAGGCTGATCGCCGAAGAATTGATGCTTTTGAATTATGGTGCTGGAGGAGACTCTTGAGAGTCCCATGGACTGCAAGAAGATCAAACGCATCCATTCTTAAGGAAATTAGCCCTGAGTGCCCACTGGAAGGACAGATCGTGAAGCTGAGGCTCCAATACTTTGGCCACCTCATGAGAAGAGAAGACTCCCTGGAAAAGACTCTGATGTTGGGAAAGATGGAGGGCACAAGAAGAAGGGGACGACAGAGGACGAGATGGTTGGACAGTGTTCTCGAAGCTACCAACATGAGTTTGACCAAGCTGGGGGAGGCAGTGGAAGACAGAAGTGCCTGGCGTGCTCTGGTCCATGGGGTCACGAAGAGTCGGACACGACTAAACGACTAAACAACAACAACAACCAGTTCAGATGTTTACAAACTTAGGAAGGATTTATAATTATATATTTATTTGTGTCCCGCCTTTTCCCCTGACAGGGACTCAAGGTGACTGACAGATAAAACAGAAACAGCTAAAAATACAGGTTTACAATAGATTAATTTTTTAAAAAAATGGATTCTGGATTAAGAAAGATCCCATTTTTAACCTGAGAAAATGGAATCTTATTTAAATGAGTGTAATATACCTAAGGTATCTAATGAGGATTTTAAATGCACCCATATCAGTGTTGGAACAGCAGCTGGCAATAAGTCGAATGAAGTCAGCTAAGGCACCAGGCCCAGATGGGATTACAGCAATTTATTATAAAAAAATTCAAGATGCATTGATTTGACTACTCAAGGACACTATGAATAGAATTTTGGTGACAGGAGTGGTCCCAGCATCATGGAAAAATGCATATAGCACCCTGATAAACAAGACTGTGACTTAATGAGGACTAAGAACTATAGAGCAATTTCTCTACTTAATTGTGATTACAAATTATTTGTTGCAATTTTAGCTAATAGATTGAAAAGAGTTTTGAGTGAGTTAATACAAAGAGATCAAACAGGTTTTCTTCCAGGTCATCAACTGAAAGACAATGTAATAAATTTGATTGAATACCTGGAAGTGAGAAACAAAAAACAAACAGCTTTAATTTTCTTAGATGCTGAGAACATTTTGATAAATACTGAAGAAAGAGGGGACTTTGCCCTGCCAGACCTTCAATTATATTATGAGGTGGCTTGTTTGTGTTGGCTAAGGGAATGGACTGTATTGAAAAATGCTCACGTTTTAGATTTGGAAGGCCATGATATTAAATTTGGTTGGCATGCATGACTTTGGTATGGGAAAGCTAAAACCTATAAGAATTTTATGAACCATGTTATTAGGAGGAATTTGTGCAGAGTCTGGGAGAAATATAAAAACTTGCTGGAAAGAAAAACACCCCTATGGTTATCGCCAACTGAAGCAATTACAATCAAGAGAATCAACATGGATAGACAGTGGGTGACCTATAGAAACTTGCTAGACTTCTCAGGGAGTAAACGCAGATTGAAACCTATGGGCGAACTAAGGAAACAAGTTACTGAGTGGTTACAGTATTATCAACCTTATGACATGTTTAAACTAGATGAGAAAAATGGTTTCTTAGACCAAAGTTCACAATTTGAAAGAGAGTTATTGCAGAATAAGGAAAAACTATTGTCTAAAATGTACAAACTTTTATTGGAATGGGAAACAAAAGACAAGCTGGTTAAAGCTTCAATGACCAACTGGGCAACTGACATAGGATATAATATAGAACTAAAGCTCTGGGAGAATCTTTGGAAGAAAGACCTGAAATTCACAGTATGCTACACATTGAAAGAGAACTACATGAAAATTATTCATAGATGGTATCTAACCCTGAGTAGATTAGTTAAAATGTATAAATCGAAATCGGATTTGTGTTGGAAATGTAAAAAAGTGGAAGGAACCTTTTTTCATATGTGGTGGGCATGCAAAATAGTTAAAGAATATTGGGAAATGACATATAATGAGATAAAAAAAAATTTAAATCATTCCCCTCCAAAAAGAAGCATTCTTGTTAGGAATGGTGCAGACAGAGATACCCAGGTCTCAAAAAAACTTAATTATGTATGCAACAACATTGGCTCGGATCTTGTTAGCCAAAAAATGGAAGGTGAGGGAGGTTCCTAGGAAGGAGGATTGGTAACTTAAGACAGAATATACAGAGTTAGCAGGTCTAACAAGTAAAATAAGAGCGCAAGAAGAGCAAGTATTTAAAGAGGAGTGGATTTCTTTTGCTGAGTGTACAAAATAATTGTAGACAGTTGAAAATGTTCCCAGTATTAAGGTAAATTCAACAGTATAATATATTGCAAAGGGATGTAAGATTGGAGAACTGAATTAGACGGATATACAAAATATGCAGGAATGGTGGGTAAATTAAAAGACCCTTGGAAGGGGAAGGAGGGAAGTCACTGAATGTATGGCTATAATGAAATATGTTTATTTTGAAATGTATAATCTGAAAATTTAACATAAAAATACTTTAAAAACAGAAAGATCCCATTTTTGTTAATATGCGTTAAAAAAAAGTCAAATTGTGAATGAATATCAGGACTGAACCTGCAAGGCAAATGGGTGAAGTAACCTGATTCAGGCCCCATGAGACTGTGCCATAATGGATGAAGGCAGGGATAGCTCAGTCAGCATGAGACTCTTTATTTCAGGGTCATGGGTTCAAGCCCCACATTGGGCAAAAGATTCCTACATTGCAGGGGGGTGGACTAGATGACCCTTAGGATCCCCTCCAATTCTACAGTACAGTGCCTCTAACTGGGGTTGGAATGGTGCACCCAGGCTTTTAGCCCTGACATGGGATGTGTGTTTGTCACATCTGGGCTCTGTCTCAGGTAACAATCTGTCTTGGGCTGCCACTGGTTAATACTGGCCCTTAAGTATTTACAAAGAGGACTCCACATACTTTAAAGAGCAGAAGCAGAAGTCTGAAAGCGGAAATTTGGGTGCAGTGCACAACCATAACAGCACATTATCTTTGGAATCAGGGAGGGGGGCGGCGACGGCGGCAGAACAGAGTGAAAAAAGAGAAATCAGGAATGAAGACATTGTGAAGAGAGAGACAGTATCTGGAGGTGTTAAGTTAGTTTCTAGAAAAAATAGCGTAGGAGAGACGAATTGCTCTAAGTAGAAAGCTAGTCTATAATTTTTTTCTGAAGTCCCACGATGTATCGAAAATCAACGTATTATTAGATTTCAAGAAGATGATTTTGCAAGTACTGTACAGTGTATGTACAGAAGACTCCCCTGCCCTCAGCTTTTTGCACTAGCATCCCCATCCCACAGCAATTACCCCTTAGTGTTTCTGACACTAAAAAAAACTAGTTGGAACTTTCAGGGGCTGGGGAATTCTAAAAGACGTGTTGTGAGTTGTATTGATTTGTGCAGATAATGTACTACCTGAGGGAGAAGATGGTAGGATAACTTCAAAACAAGAAAAGAGAGTGACTTCTGTTAAGTTGCATTTCTCCCAAGCATTAGTATCATGTGTAAATCCAGCCTGATAAAATCAATAAGACGTTCCCTGAAAGTTAAATATTACAAGTGCTGGATGATTCTTGAGCATAGATTGATGAACATGTATTTTGCTGGAATGTGTTCCAGTGTTCTGGCCTGAGGCTCAGTCCTGTCTTCTTCATCAAGGTTGCACTAGTTCAATCTGGTTGAAATGCTTGCACTATAAAACTGCAAAGCACGATAGGAAGCTAAGTAAAGGCATTCCCCCTTAACTGACCATCAGGGTCAAAATGCTCCTGAGCATGTTTATGAGCTATAAACAAAGATAGATATGAGTGTCTGGCACAAAATACTCTTGCTGGTGAACCTGTCCTGAGGGGACCTACATAAACTCTTTTGACTATTTGGTAAACTGCTTATTTTTAGTCCCTTCTCTCATAATTTATTTTCCCTTGATTTTGAGCAGGCTTCTAGCCTACATTTAAACAAACAATTCTAGTTAGGGTAGCAAATTATGGATTTTGCCACTATGTGTATTGAAAACTCCAGATGGAAAATGTTGGGAAGAAATGGCTTGTGATGGGGAAGGACAGACCCGTAAACCCCCTCCTCAGCACATTAGGTCTAGAGAAGATCTGGGGTGTGCTGATGTGGGCCAATGATGCTATTATCTCATATCAGTGCAGCAGATCTCATTGTCTTTGGCCTAGAAATAATCTGGATCTACTGCAGTATTTTCAGATGTTCAGCAGACATTCAGAAAAATAATCTGACAAATCTGGATTACTTCTGCACCAAAGCCAATGGGGTTTGCCTTTCGCTAAATGTCAGAGAACGCTCCCAAAGAGAATTCATGTAGAAATAGAGATCATATCTTAATTATCTTTGGTTTGCTTTGTATCTATTTGAGACACAACCTTCCATTGGAATGACAGTGCTTACCAAATAGTCCTTGTAGGAAGAAGAACAAGAAAAATCCAGCTTGTTTAGAAAACTGTTTGACAGGTATACATGTCATAGGATTGTATTCAATGCTAGTCCACTCAGAGTAGTAGACCCATTGAAGCTAATGGACATGACTAACTTAGGTTCATTAATTCAGTTTGGTCTACTCTGAATAGAAACTTGTTGAGTACAACCCATTATTTTTGTCCCATGAAAAACTTTTGGGAGAAATACCCTGTGAGTATTTCCTTACTACATTGAATGGATTCAACAAAGAGTTTATTGTCTTCAGCAGAACAACCTAATATAGTTCTAGCTTGAAAGCTAAGCAAATCTGGTTTTGGCTAGTGCTTTGCAATAGGAAAGAGTAGGAGTGCCATGTTGCAAAATGGAAGTTCTCCCAGCGCTGCTAAATCGGGGCATGAGGCAGCCGTGGCTTCTAATTGCCCCCCACTTCCCGTCTCCCACTTGTTGTAGTAGGCACATGCCCAGCAAGGAATGTGACCACTGTAAGGTTATTTGGTCCTCATTTTAAGGAAATGGATGAAACTGGAGCTGGTAGTTAGGGAAACAAATGCACAGAAGTAGCTGATTCTTCAGCCCCACTCTATCTTGCTGCTGTTATCACTGTCTAATGACACAGACAACAAAAAAGAGGAGTAGCTGTAGGGTCCAGACCATGCACAATTCCCCAATAACTCTTCTACCTAGTTTATTTGTGGGAAAATAGGCATTCAAGAACGATGCAGTTTCATAAGCAGTAACTAGTTGCCTTCAGAAAGGAACAGAATATAAGATTAATTCCTCATTCATGCCCAGCTACCAGGTGAAACACTTTGTTTGTTGATCGATACAGAACTTAAAAGGCAAGCTGTGAGTCTCACAAGCAGCTTTCCTCTCTTGCTAGAGGGGGTTGTTTATTGGATCAATAACTTTACTTTGAGGAAATGATAAGAGACTCAGGCTTAATATTAACCGAAGAGATACCAAAAGTACTCTGGAAGCTATTGGGTCATCTGGAAACACTCTGATAGAGATGTCATTATCAGAACGGTGGTTGTGAGGCAGATACAGAAGGTGACAGTTTTATTATTAGCATCCCTTTCTACGTCCAAGTCTACAGAATTGGTCTTGACAATTTTTTATAGTTTGCCCAAAGTCATGAGTTGTTTTTCTCAGGCATTGATGATATGGTAACTTCCCTCTAGCTACATAACTGCAAATCATAACCCACCTTATCCAGATGTATTAATCGTGTCCCGATAGCTGCTGTACAAAACGCCGGCTCCCTCGGCCTATAGAGCGAGATGAGCGCCACAACCCCAGAGTCGTTTGCGACTGGACTTAACTGTCAGGGGTCCTTTACCTTTTTTTTAGAATTATGAAACAATGCAGGAACTGTTGCATGTTAACAACAAATAGTTTCCTTTCCACATCATACATTTAAAGCCCATGACTTCCCCCAAAGAATAATCGGAACTGTAGTTTACTCCTCACAGAGCTACAATTTCCAGCACCTTTAACAAACTACAGTTTCCATGTTTCTTTTGGGGAAGCTATGTGCATTTAATGTATAGTGTGGATGTGACAGCCTCCAGTTGGTGTGGCCAGAAGAAAAGAAGCACTGGGTTCCTGCACTTTTTAATAGCTATGTAGAACAGAGAACTTCAACTTCTTATGCAAACTACAGTTATTGAAATTTCTTCTTAAAGGTGCAGCAGCCTCCTTTCCTCTTCCATGTGACAGTCCTTAAGATGTTTGAAGATGGCTATCATATCTCCTCTCAGACCTTTCCAGACTAATCTCCTCTCAGACCTATTTTATCCAGGCTAAATATACCCAGCTCCTAAACCAGACTGGGCCGCATCTGGCCCACGGGCCTTAGGTTGCCTACCCCTGTCCTAAACCATTCCTCATAAGGCTTAGTTTCCAGGCCCTTGATCATCTTGGTTGCCCTCCTCTGCACACGTTCCAACTTGTCAACATCCTTCTTGAATTGTGGGGCCCAGAATTGGACACAGTATTCCAGGTGTGATCTGACCAAGGCTGAATAGAGAGGTACTATTATTTCCTTTGATCTGGACAGTATACCTTTAAAGGGCTGTGATACTAACACACACATCCACAAGTGATGGCTTGGGGTAGGATGGGTACAATGGAGGTACCAGCTCCACTCAAGTGGGCAATAAACTACCTCCAGTGGTCCTCCTGCCTACAGTAGGGAGCAAAAAGTTCCTGAAACAAGCCATTTTGGAAGGTGGAGGTGGCAGGGCACTGGAGACTTGTGATCGACTGGCTCCTAAATCCCATGAACCACCTGAGAGATCCATGCCCATGATAGCTTGGAGAGTGCAGCTGGTGTAGCAGAAAAAGAAAGAAAAACCCCACCAACACTTCTTTCAGCCTGGCTTGCAGAAGCCAGAAAGTCTTCAGATGCTGCAGAGGATTCCCAACTTTGCACTTCCCCAGGCCTTCCTTATTATTGTTCTGCAAACCCATCTTCTTGAGGGAAAGAAATTTATGTAATAGGAAAAACTAACCTGTCGAGCTACATGATGTCAATAGGAGGGGAAAACTTTGTTTGGAGTAGATGTAATAAAGCACTTGAAGAAGTTTGACCTGTCTCAGCATCTATTTCCTTTCACAATGTTGTTTTTCCATTTCTGAGTACAATTGGCTAAGGCATACTTTTATATTAAAAATCTGATACTAAAGTTTAGACTTTAGTTTCTAAAGTGTGAGCCAGTTTCTGTCAGATTTTATCTGAATGATAGTAGCACTAATAATCTCATTTTCTGGGGCTATTGTGCTACATAATCCTATGTATGTTTACTTAGAAGTAGATTCTACTGAGCTCAGTGGGATTACGAAGTAGTAAACTTATTTAGGATTGCAAACATGCAGCCTGAACCAGTATATGTAGCATAGCATTAAATCCCATTAAATTCAATGGCGCTTACTCCCAAGGAAGCACATAGGTCTTCTGCCTTAATCAACATGTCCATTTCTGAGACTCAACAAAGGAAGGAATTGCTTTCCCCCCTCAACGTGTTCATATGGGCATTAGCACAGGCACTTTTTATTTCAAAGGTTTGTAGCTATAGCAAACTGTGAGAGTCTCTCAGGATCTCCTCTGTGGGTCTGAATTTCAAATATTCAGCACTGGTTGCTGGCCTGAGTTCACAGGATTCTTGGGTATGAATTATATTTTCTTAAGGAATAAAAATGTACCTCTGTTCTCTGAATTCCCAAGTAAAAATAGAGACTCATGAGATCGCTAGGTAGAGTTCTGGTTTCTGTACATTTGGAAGCTAATCCAGAATGAAAAGCAGAGGGCAGGAAAGGAACCCCATATTCCCACTTTAAATTTGGATTTGTGTCTCTGTTCCTCACAGACACAGGCAATCATATGCAGACCATACCATAATGAAGCAAACTCTGCAGTGCGGCCTAGTACGTTGCTATAGTAACCATGCAGTAGTAGTGATAACGAAAACCAGACCTGGTATTACCGCTCTCTTGGTCCCATCAGAGGCAAACTGACAAACGTGATGGAGCTTCCCACATCTCAAAGTAGTAACAGCCTCAAATCCTGAAGGGCCTAAAATTATTGACCTGGTCAGATTATAATCTGTTTACAAGCTATGCATGGCTTGGGTCTGGCCCCTGTAGGTTCAAATCTGTCACATCTTGCAGTATGCAAGTTGATCCATGCTCTTTGTCTTTGGTTCTGCCAAGTTCTTAATGAGTATCACTTTACTGTCTAAAAACAAGGCAAGAGTGAGGCTGAAGATCAGAGGCTTAAAAAGGGTTCTTCCACCTGCAGAGCATTTGGCCTGCGCCAAAGGCCCTAGGAGACTTATAAAATATTTGCTCAAATGTTTCCTGCTTGAAAGCAATGGCTTGTTAACTAACTAATTAGTTCAAACCAAGGTATTGTGTGAATAGTTCCCCAAGGAAAGCATGTTGATGATCTAGTATTTTATTTCCAGGTCTGTTTTCACACAGCAATGGAACCTGGCTTGTTTAGGAAAAAACTATGAAACTAAGAATTATTTGTATCACGTTAGAAACTGAGCCAGTTCAAACACCTAGACTACCTCTCCAGATTGAATCATGTGAAACAAGTTGCCTTGGAATCTAGGCTTAAGAGTTCAGTTAGCTAATACAGTGGTACCTCGGGTTACATACGCTTCAGGTTACCTACGCTTCAGGTTACAGACTCCGCTAACCCAGAAATAGTGCTTCAGGTTAAGAACTTTGCTTCAGGATGAGAACAGAAATGTGCTCCGGTGGCGTGGTGGCGGCAGGAGGCCCCATTAGCTAAAGTGGTGCTTCAGGTTAAGAACAGTTTCAGGTTAAGTACGAACCTCTGGAACGAATTAAGTACTTAACCTGAGGTACCACTGTATGTAGAATGGTGGGTGGTAAAAGTTAATCTAAGCACCAAATTTATTAGGAATATCTCCCCATATGTAAGAAAAAAGTAATGTAATACCTGGCTTCTAGCTTCTTCTGCAACAGACTAACATGACTATCCTTCTGGAAGTTTTTCCTACGTTTAAACAACTCAGGAAAACAATCGTAGTGCAGAGTTAATTCCCTCTCCTTTGTAATCATAGAGGCATTTATTTATGTTTAATACTCATAGTCAGTGCTTTTTTTCTAAAAATTGTTTAGGGGTACTCTCATTTTGACTCAAGAAAATCACCATTTAATAGTTAAAATCGGGGAAAATAAATACAGTAAATGTACAAAAGTACAAAGATTCACAAAACGTTTAGAGGTATGTGTACCCCTTCGTACCCCTAGAAAAAAGCGCTGCTTATAGTTGAGAGGAAGGTTAATCAATTAGGTCTTTTCTATCTAGGAACAGCAGATGCAAATAATAGCTGAAGGGTTATTAAAGAAGTAGTTTCCTTCCAGTTCCAGAAAGAAATTAGTGATCTCACTGATGATTTGCCTTGGAAGGTGGGATTTCACAGGGACTCTTCTAAAAAGCTCATTGCTCATACATTTGTACTAGAAGAAGCCAAGCCTGGTAGAAAAAAAAGACTTCTGTGGAGTGTTAGGCTAGTTCTAGGCTTGCCATATGTCAGGAAAATTCCTGACATGTCCTGGTTTTGGGGTGCAAAAATGGCATCAGGGGATTTTTGCTGAAAACCCGGATGTATGGAAACAGCTCTGAAAGTTTAAAATAACTACCGGTATTTTTGGGTTAGATTTCCCCAAAGAAGCTCAACAATTTTGGTGGTTTCCTAAAAATAACAACTTTGCTGGTGTCAGGAATTTTACTTTCTGAAAGATGGCAACTCTAATAGTTCTGAAATGCATTATGCCAGCTACCGGATTTCCGGGCCCATTGTATTACGCAATTTCTTAAGACACAATAAATACTGGCTTGATGTATAACAAATAATTGTATCACTAATCTACCTGAAGGTTAGGAGTCAGGGAAAATGTTCAGAACTGGATAGAAATAACAAAGCAATAGCTTCCACACCCCTCCTGGCAAGCTTTTAAGCTCAGGCATGACACACTCATTCATGCGACTTTCTCATCTTGCAAGAATGCCCATCTGCGAGGTTGTGCTTAGTTATAGGTGACAATGCCACACCCTCTTGTTCAGGCTTCTGATCAGTTGCTGCTGCTCATGGGCATAGCTAAGGGGGAGGCAGGGAGGGGCAGCTCCCCCCTCCAATAAATAAAAATACACAGCTAACTTTGGTTCTGCCCCCACCCACAAAAGGCCTGCCCCCCCAACAAAAATCCTAGCTATGCCCATGCTACCGCCTCCTGAGTGCCTCTCCGCCTGGCAGCCTGCAGCTTTCCCTAGCCTCCACCGAGGCTCTCCACTCTGCTGAGAGGTCAGAGTTGGCATCCTTACGCCCCTTTCCGAAGCAACTGAAGTTGAGGCACAATGGGGACAACTCGCCTCCTCTGACCTCATTTCCCAACAACTGGCCTCCTCTGTTTTCCTTTCTTCTCCTCCTGGGATGGAGCCCACCAACCTAAGTTTGATCCCAATAATGCTGCAGAGTTCATGACAGGCAAAGTGGTGAGCATGGGCGTAGGCAGGATTGTTAGGGGTGCAGACTTTATGTTTGGGTGGGCAGAACTGAGCTATCTGTCATGTCATTGTTCAGTTAGGTGTTTTTATTTACCTGATGGAGGGGCAGCTGCCTCCGCCCCCCCTTGGTTACCCCCATGGTGGTGAGATGTGTTATTTTTCTAGTTGTTGTTGTTGTTTAGTCGTTTAGTCGTGTCCGACTCTTCATGACCCCATGGGCCAGAGCACACCAGGCACTCTCGCAATTTGGTCAAACTCATGAGCAGGAACTGGCAAGCCACTGCCAAGAAAACTCCATGGACAAAAACAACAGGCATATTTTTCTATTAAACTATACTAAACATTTCTCTATTCTAAATCAGCATATACAATTTTTATATAAATCAAGTGTCTTGTTTGTCTTCTTTTTTTGGTGATGCATAATGCATAAGTAGTGACACACCTGGTAGCCGATCAACATATGCTGATTATACAAATAGTTTTAACTACAATTCACGTAATCCCTTAACTGTGCTATCATGTTGGCTGGGGCTGATTGGAGTTTGTAGATGAAAGCATCTGGAGGCACCAGGCTGGGGAAAGCTGCTTTATGGTTTGCAAGATGCTACCACACATTCAGCAGCTGACACAACCTTATGTGCACACACAGTGAAAGTAACAGCATCACTCCAAATATATTCAGGTTCTCCCACATGTGCATTCTTTGAATGTGAATATAGTTTTATGTTGTGTGTGAACATGTGTACAATGCAACATTTGTACGGTGCTAGAATTAACATAGAACCAATTCCAGCCATTGTGAGCCAGGAGAGCTAGGAGAAAGAGTGCTATGTTAGCAAGAACTAGACCAAAAAGGAACAGATTGGTATTTGTTACACAACTAATGACGTTAAAGATGGCCAATCGGTTGGGAGGAATGTTTTTGCCAAAAATCTCAGAAACCTCATCAGGAGGGCTTTAAACTGACTAATGTGGGGGAGGGAGACAGTGCTCCTGAAGGTAGGAGTCTATCAATTGATGAAGATGATCATCCAAATGTCATAGACCAAATGGAGCAAACAGCACGCAGACCTAGTGGTGAGAGGAAAAAATCCTTAAATAAGAGTCACGGGGGAATGATTAATGGACTTCAGTGTCTGTACACTAATGCGCAAAGCATGGGAAATAAACAAGATGAGCTTGAGCTCTTGGTACAGCAAACTAAATATGACATAATAGGCATCACTGAAACCTGGTGGGATAAGTCCCATGATTGGAATGTAATAATGGAGGGATACAATCTATTTCAGAGAAACAGACCAGACAAGAAAGGAGGAGGAGTGGCGTTATATGTCAGGGATGTGTATACCTGTGAAGAGATGCAAGATTTAGAACCTCAAAGCCAAAGTGAGTGCATTTGGGTCAAAATTAAGGGAGAGAATAATAACAGTTACCTCATTGTGGGAGTTTACTATAGATCCCCAAGCCAAACAGAGGCCATAGATGATGCCTTCCTGGAACAGATGGCCAAGCATGCAAAAGGAAGGGAGATAGTAATAATGGGGGACTTCAATTACCCGGATATTTGTTGGATGTCAAACTCAGCCAAGAGCATAAGGTCAAACAGATTCCTCACTGGCCTTGCAGACAACTTCATTGTCCAGAAAGTGGGAGAAGCAACAAGAGGAACAACCAATGTTGATGACCTGGTTAGTGGGGTAGAAGTGGAAGGATCATTAGGCGCGAGTGATCATGCTCTTCTGAAGTTTACTATACAGCGGAAAGGAGCAGCCAAGCATACTAGGACTCAATTTCTTGACTTTAAGAAAGCTGACTTCATAAAACTTAGGGAAGTGCTGGGTGAGATCCCATGGACAGTAATACTAAAAGGAAAGGGAGTTCATGATGGCTGGGAGTTTGTTAAGAGGGAGATAGTAAAAGCACAACTTCAGGCAATACCAATGAGACGGAAACATGGAAGGTGCCTAAAGAAGCCAGGGTGGCTATCTAAAGAACTTTTAACTGAATTAAGATTAAAAAAGGATGTGTACAAAAAATGGAAAAGGGGGGAAACCACCAAAGAGGAATTCAAACAAATAGCCAGCACGTGTAGACACAAAGTCAGAAAAGCTAAAGCACAGAATGAACTCAGGCTTACTAGAGAGGTTAAATCTGACTCACCACCGCCACAGCTTAAGAGGCCTCATGAGGCACTGGGACACCGCTGCTGCTGCTGCACTGTGAGTTGGGGAAGGCCGCTCCCTTCTCAGGCTGATTCCACCTGGCCCAGGGGGCGGGGCCCAGACTGACTCACCACCGCCACAGCTTAAGAGGCCTCATGAGGCACTGGGACACCGCTGCTGCTGCTGCACTGTGAGTTGGGGAAGGCCGCTCCCTTCTCAGGCTGATTCCACCTGGCCCAGGGGGCGGGGCCCAGACTGACTCACCACCGCCACAGCTTAAGAGGCCTCATGAGGCACTGGGACACCGCTGCTGCTGCTGCTGCACCATGGGGGTTGAGGGAGGCCGCTCCCTCCTGTAGGCCCACTCCACCAGGCCTGGGGGACGGGGCCCACACTCGCCACTGCTACAGTTTTAAGGACACTGGTGTTGCTGCAGCAAATGTTAAAAATGTTTTTATATATTTTAAAGGGTTTTAAAGGGGTTTTTACTTTTTACTTTGTTGTACCACCGTGAACGGTGGTTTGTATTGATGTATTTTTATTTTGTTCCGCTTTATGTTGGTTTGGGGTTGGATAGTGAGTGGGGTGGGGATTTGTTTTGTTTTGGTACAATTGTTTTTGGTTTGATTTGTTTTTCTATTTTGTAAATGGAGGTTGGTTTGAGGCTTGGGATTGCTACCGTAGTGGGGCGAGGGAGGTATGGCGGTGGGGGCAGATGTCATAGGCGAAGGGGATCGAGATACGGATATGCTCGTACCCCTTCCAATCTGCGCCCCATCCCGAGGGACGAGGGTAAGGTGAGCAAGGATTACTCACCTCCGTCACTGGTGTTGTGCAATGCCAGGTCTATAGGCAACAAAACCGCCACCCTGCGAGACTTCTTCACCTCGCAGGGGGTTGACCTGGCTTGTGTGACAGAGACCTGGGTGCGCGAAGGAGAAACTGTTAACCTACGAGAGATGGCACCCCCGGGTTTCTCCGTCCTCCACCAGTCGCGGACTGTGGGCCGGGGGGGAGGGGTGGCATTATTAATCCGGGAAGATTGTTCTTTCAGGGCTCTACCATCGCCATCGATCCCCGGCATTGAATGTGTTGGCCTAGTGTGGGGCTCCGAGGTGAGCTTGGCTGTCTGGCTGGTGTACCGGCCACCTAGCGCACCAGCAGCCACCCTGTCAGGCCTGCTGGAGGCGGTGGCCGGCTGGGCCTTGGAGTTCCCTAACCTATTGGTATTGGGGGACTTCAACATCCATGCTGATGCCACTCCCTCCTCACAGGCTCTGGACCTGGTGTCTTCCATGGCGACACTAGGGCTCTCCCAGTTTGTTTCGGGCCCCACACATCAAGCAGGCCACACGCTGGATTTGATCTTTGGCGCCGGTATAGATGTGATCATGTCTCCTTCGATGAAGGTGCCATGGTCTGATCACTACGCTCTGAAAGCCAGGATTGATTTTCCACCCCCACCCTGCTTAGGTGGCGAGCCAATTTGGGCTCGCCCGCAGAGGCTGATGGACCCTGATAGATTCCGTCAGGCCTTGCGGGACCTTGCTTCCCTGGCGACTCATTGACTGAGCTTGTTGAGGGCTGGAATATCCAGCTCCTAGCAGCCATCGATGAGATCGCACCTAGGCGCCCTCTGCGACCCCGCAGAAACCGGGCTCCCTGGTTTACCGAGGAGCTTCGGAAAATGAAGCGGGACCTCAGACGGCTAGAGCGAGTATGGCGGGGTGCCCGTGACGGAGCCTCAAGAACATCTTATAGGGTTTTTATGAAAACCTACGAGATGGCAGTGAAGGTCGCTAAGAAGTCCTACTTCTCGGCCTCCATTGCCTCTGCTAGCTCTTGCCCGGCGCAATTATTTAGTATAATTAGGTCTTTAACGTCCCTTGAAGGACAGCCAAATTTAAATAACAATTTGACACACAGCTGTGAGGCATTTGCGAGCTTTTTGCGGAGAAGGTCCTGTTGCTCCGCCATGACCTCCCTGCCAATTTGGATACAATAAAGGAACTGGAGGCCCCTCGACTGTCCTCGGGTCCAGTATTGGACCACTTTGACCGGATATCCCCAGCCGATGTGGACAGACTCCTCCGAGCTGGAAAGCCCACCACCTGTCCTCTTGACCCGTGCCCATCTTGGCTGATTAGAGCGTGCCCAGACGAGGTGCGGGCCCCCCTGGGTGATATCATCAATTTGTCCCTTGGCACCGGGATATTCCCAGGGGAACTGAAGGAGGCAGTGGTGCGTCCGCTCTTAAAGAAAACATCATTAGATCCCTTAGATCTATCCAATTACCGCCCGGTTTCGAATCTTCCATTCCTGGGTAAGGTGATTGAGAGAGCGGTTGCTGAACAGCTTGGTAGGTTTCTGGATGAAACATCGGCTCTCGATCCATTCCAGTCCGGCTTCCGCGCTGGTCATGGGACCGAGACGGCTCTGGTCGCCCTAACAGATGATCTCCGCAGGCAGCTGGATCGAGGCGGGTCGGGGCTGCTGATTCTTCTAGACCTGTCAGCAGCCTTCGACATGGTCGATCACGAACTCCTGGACCACCGCCTTGCCGACGTGGGGATCCAGGGCACAGTCCTTCAATGGCTGCGCTCGTTTCTCTCTGGTCGGGGACAGAGGGTGGCGCTTGGGAGGGAATTGTCATCGCGCCACTCCTTGGTGTGTGGAGTGCCTCAGGGTGCGATTCTCTCCCCGATGCGTTTAACATCTTTATGCGCCCCTCGCCCAGCTTGTCCGGAGTTTTGGGCTGGGTTGCCATCAGTATGCCGATGACACCCAACTCTATCTGTTGATGGATGGCCATCCTGACTCGGCCCCAGACACACTGACCAGATGTCTGGAAGCTGTGGCTGGATGGTTACGTGGGAGCCGGTTGAAGTTAAATCCTTCGAAGACAGAGGTCCTCTGGCTGGGACGGGTGGATATGGGATTGAGAGGGCAACTCCCATCTCTTGCGGGGGTGCAATTAGTGCCAGCATCGTCCGTTAAGAGTTTGGGTGTAATCTTCGATACCTCCCTCTCTATGGAGGCGCAGATTACAGCTATAACAAAGGCGGCATTTTTTCATCTCCGCCAAGCTAAGCAGTTGGCTCCTTATCTCTCTCGCCCTGACCTAGCCATTGTGATCCACGCGACGGTGACCTCCAGGCTTGACTATTGTAACTCGCTCTACGTGGGGCTGCCCTTGAGACTGACCCAGAAACTCCAGCGGGTGCAGAATGCCGCGGCGAGACTCCTTATGGGGTCTTCGCTGCGAGATCATATTCATCCGGTACTATACCAGCTGCACTGGCTCCCGGTGGAGTACAGGATCAGGTTTAAGGTGCTGGTTTTAACCTTTAAAGCCCTATACGGCCTAGGACCCTCGTACCTACGGGACCGCCTCTCCTGGTATGTCCCACAGAGAAATTTACGGTCTGCAAATAAAAACATCCTGAAGATCCCAGGCCACAGAGAGGTTAGGCTGGCCTCAACTAGAGCCAGGGCTTTCTCGGCCGCGGCTCCAATCTGGTGGAACGCTCTGTCACAAGAGACTAGGGCCCTGCGGGACCTGACATCTTTCCGCAGGGCCTGCAAGACAGAGCTGTTCCACCAGGCCTTTGGTCAGGGCGCAGCCTGACCCCCTCCTCTGGCAATCTGCACAGAATTTTGCTTAATGGTTGCCATCAATTTGATTTAATTTGATTTTAATTAATTTTATAATGAATGTTTTTAGAATGTTGGATTATTTTAATTGTTGTTAGCCGCCCTGAGCCCAGCTTCGGCTGGGGAGGGCGGGATATAAATAAAATTTATTATTATTATTATTATTATTAAAAGCAACAAAAAAGGCTTTTATGGGTATGTTCGTAGCAAAAGGAAGAACAAAGAAACAGTGGGGTCACTCAGAGGAGAAGATGGTGAAATGCAAACAGGGGACACAGAAAGGGCTGAACTCCTCAATGCCTTCTTTGCCTCAGTCTTCCCGATAAAGAAAACAATGCCCGACCTGAAGAATTTGGAGCAAATGATTCAGCAGAGGAAACACAGCCCAGAATAACTAAGGAGATAGTACAAGAATACTTGGCTAGTTTAGATGTATTCAAGTCTCCAGGGCCAGATGAACTGCATCCAAGAGTATTAAAAGAACTGGCAGATGTAATCTCAGAACCACTGGCAGTCATCTTTGAGAATTCCTGGAGAACAGGCGAAGTTCCGGCAGACTGGAGGAGGGCAAATGTTGTCCCTATTTTCAAAAAAGGGAAAAGAGAGGACCCAAATAATTACCGCCCAGTCAGTCTGACATCAATACCAGGGAAGATTCTGGAGCAGATCATTAAGCAAACAGTCTGTGAGCACCTAGAAAGGAATGCTGTGATCACCAATAGTCAGCATGGATTTCTGAAAAATAAGTCATGTCAGACTAACCTGATCTCGTTTTTTGACAGAATTACAAGCCTGGTAGATGAAGGAACGCAGTGGATGTAGCCTACCTTGATTTCAACAAGGCATTTGACAAGGTGCCCCATGATATTCTTGTAAAGAAGCTGGTAAAATGCGGTCTTGACTATGCTACCACTCAGTGGATTTGTAACTGGCTGACTGACCGAACCCAAAGGGTGCTCATCAATGGTTCCTCTTCATCCTGGAGAAGAGTGACTAGTGGGGTGCCACAGGGTTCTGTCTTGGGCCCGGTCTTATTCAACATCTTTATCAACGACTTGGATGATGGACTCAAGGGCATCCTGAACAAATTTGCAGATGACACCAAACTGGGAGGGGTGGCTAACACCCCAGAGGACAGGATCACACTTCAAAACGACCTTGACAGATTAGAGAACTGGGCAAAAACAAACAAGATGAATTTTAACAGGGAGAAATGTAAAGTATTGCACTTGGGCAGAAAAAATGAGAGGCACAAATACAAGATGGGTGACACCTGGCTTGAGAGCAGTACATGTGAAAAGGATCTAGGAGTCTTGGTTGACCACAAACTTGACATGAGCCAACAGTGTGACGCGGCAGCTAAAAAAGCCAATGCAATTATTTTTTTTATAAGATATTTATTGAGATTTTCAAAATGTTACAAAATAATAATAATAATAATAAAAATACAAAATAAAAATGGTTAACAAAGTAAACAAAGAGAGAAACAAACCCTTCCAACAATACGAATACAAATTCAAAATAAGAAAAAAAACAGAAAAAAACAAAAATACACCACAAACATTTAAAAACATTTAAAAACAAATTCATTATTCTCAAATCCTCAACTGTCATTACCTTCTTTCTTTGACCTTCTCCTCCTCCCTTTCTTTGTATCCTAGTTATTAATTATCCCAGCAAATCCTTTCCATATTTCATAATATTCTGTCATTACATTACCTTAAACTGTTTTAATCTTATCTTTTTATATAAAAAAACCCCTTAAAACTTAAAGCTTAAATCTTATCCTTACCAACTTCTCATAACCATAATATTCTTTCATAATTCTTTAAGCATCTTTACTAAAGCCGAGTAATTTCATTCCAACATTTTTCTAACATTCATCAATTTTATAAAACGGTCCTAATAGTAAAAAAAAAGAAATACAAACAGATCCAATCTTCATCCAGTGTCCCTTCCTCCTGGTCCCGGGTTTTGTCAGTCCTTATTATCCCATTGATCTAGCGCATTAACCTGGCAACCTTATATCCGAGGCCCTCAAGTCTCTTCCATGTCCCTTCCGCAGCTCTTCTTCATATTTGTAACTGTATTTTCCCTTGTCTCCTGCTCGTGGTAACTCCAGCTTGACAATATTTTTGACCCTTCTCGACAGATCAGCCCCTTTTCCATATTCAACACTAAATTCCATGTGATATTTAAAAACATGTTTCAAAAACCCTCCAAAATTAAGAGCCCCCACAATCCCAAACATCTCACGGCCCATTGCCAGATTTGAAAAGTCCAAACATCCCAGCATAGGGGGGTCAATCCAGCCCCCCATTTCCAAGCCAAACCAAACTTTTTCTTTCCAAGTCTGGCTTTTTCCAAGTTCATTTGTCAAATCCAAAGCTCATATTCCTGTTGGGCCTGTTCTGTCAGGACACACTCTGATTTAATTCCTGAGTGGGCTCCACATATTTTCCCACTGTCTGTTCAAAATTTCCCACTGCCTGTTCAAAATTTCTAGTCGAAGTCGCCATCAAATTCATCTTCTCATGTAACTGTTCCAGTAGGGCATTTGTTTTATAGAAAGCGCACAACAGAGCTTCTGAATACATTGTCCTGCAAGGTCAAATGTCTGTTCCCACGATTGTAATCTGTAACAGCTGCCAGCTCCCTGGAATTGGTTACAGTTTCACAGTCTCCCTCTAGGGGGAAAGCTTCTATTTGTTCTTGCAACAAAGTTTCCCTTTTTGAGATATTTTGTCAATATTTGTTCCTTTAAAATGCGAAAGGAAACAGTGGAATCACTATGTTTCTCTTCTTTTAGCTATCTGTCAAAAACGTTTTTCTCTGGTCAATGAGCTTCAAACGTCAGTCCTGACACCCCGCTCCAGGATCAGGACGGTGGAAAGTGACTTTACTTTAAACTCACTTTAAACAGTCCGAAAAAGATCCCCCTTCTTCTCCTGCTGTCGAAGGGGGGTTCCACAATTTTAAATGATGAAATCCAATCCTTTAAAGGCGATTTTCTAAGCTCTAGTTTATGTTGTCTTTGCTTTATTCTGTCTACAAAAGAATGGAAGGCTGACTTCCTGTTTAGACCTTCCCGTTCAGTACCAAATTGAAATAAATTTTTAAATCCAATTCCTTTCTGCTCGCAAGTCCTTATTTAAGGTCCAGTTGTTCAAAGTTTAAGTACTCACGGGTGCTTATTTTAGAGTCCAAATTGTCCCAGGAAAAGGCAGCGCTCTCCGGCAACGGCTATGCGGCTTCGCTCCACGGAAATAGCAGTTGACTCACAGCACCGCGCCACTTCCCCCTCTTCACTTCGGAGCCCGTTAATGGGTTCCTTTGCGAGTTGGGGGGGGGCGCTAAAGGTGCCCGCCGAGTCCCATGGTCACAGGCTTCATCCGCCTGTGATTTTTAAAAGGGTCCCCGCTTCGCCGTAGCGGAGAAGACCCGTTTCCCGCGGAGCTAGTCCCTCCAGTTCAGAGAGAGTCCGCCATTGCCGATGGCGCCACCCTGGAAGTCTCTTAAAAAAGAAAGAAAGAAAAAAAGCCAATGCAATTCTGGGCTGCATCAATAGGAGTATAGCATCTAGATCAAGGGAAGTAATCGTGCCACTGTATTCTGCTCTGGTCAGACCTCACCTGGAGTACTGTGTCCAGTTCTGGGCACCACAGTTCAAGAAGGACACTGACAAACTGGAATGTGTCCAGAGGAGGGCAACCAAAATGGTCAAAGGCCTGGAAACGATGCCTTATGAGGAACGGCTAAGGAGCTGGGCATGTTTAGCCTGGAGAAGAGGAGGTTAAGGGGTGATATGATAGCCATGTTCAAATATATAAAAGGATGTCACATAGAGGAGGGAGAAAAGTTGTTTTCTGCTGCTCCAGAGAAGCGGACACAGAGCAATAGATCCAAACTACAAGAAAGAAGATTCCACCTAAACATTAGGAAGAACTTCCTGACAGTAAGAGCTGTTCGACAATGGAATTTGCTGCCAAGGAGTGTGGTGGAGTCTCCTTCTTTGGAGGTCTTTAAGCGGAGGCTTGACAACCATATGTCAGGAGTGCTCTGATGGTGTTTCCTGCTTGGCAGGGGGTTGGACTCGATGGCCCTTGTGGTCTCTTCCAACTCTATGATTCTATGATTCAATCTGTTGAAGTGGATGGGATGCACACTAAAGACTTTGCAGCAGTTGTGCCAGCAACCCCATGCTATAGGTGGAAATAAATACAGAATTATTTTAGTGTATTTTAATATTTATACATTGCCTTTTAAAAACCAATGTTATTAACCAAATCTCAGGAATATGGTTATTATTTTAATAAAGCCAATGTATATATACATATAGCCTGTTGAGTTTAAATCTCACATTACTTTGGTTGGGCTTTCCTAAACTTGCTGGGAACTTCAGGTCCCATAACCTTAAGAAGTAACTTCCCCTTCCTCTATTTTCAATGGCTCTGTGCCAGAATCAGCTATGCATCTAGTGACTTTAATCTCTGCATTAGTTGGGGCTATGTGAGGGATAATTTCCCTCTAGATACAAATAAACTCAGACTAACGTAATTTATGAAGAAGATTAAAATGATTTCAACCAAGCAATGTGTAAATAATACTGAACTGCAGTCAAATCCCACACATGTTTACTCTGATGTAAAGCTCATAATGTCCAATGGCAGGGCTGGTCAGACTGAGGCTACTGCCTAAGGTAGAAATGTTGAGGAGCTGCAGCAGCTCCCTGCAAACTGTTTTTCCTGAGCCCACTAACTGGGCCGTGTGGCCTGTCCTGCACCCCCTAAACTAGTGTTCCTAGGACTGTAATCTTCAGGCCAAACTACATGTTATGATAAACACACTTTTAAAAAAAGCATGCTCCAACCGGCCACTTTTATTTTGAAGAAAAAGCAGCCTCTTGGCTACAATTTGGAATACGCTCCTAATCCAGACTGAGGCCTCATACCAGTTATCTGCTGAACTCCCTCAGCTGCTTTTTGCCCATGAAATTGCTCTTTGCTGTTTTTATTTCAAAACAGAGCTGACCAGTTTAGCACCGGCATAGCAACCCATACTCCCCCTGAGGGAGATAGATTCCGCCCCCCCCCCCGCCTTCCTATGCTACTGCAGTTTAGGCATTTTTTTAAAAAAAGCATTTTACTTTAGACACAGAAAATTGGACATAAATAAATTTAACTCTGCTAGCCTCTCTTCCAGTGCTGTTCATCTGAAATCATTTCAACAGTAACACTTGGCCTCACAGAAAGTCAGAGACATAGAGGTATTTATTAATACGGGACAGATTTTTCAGAAAACCCTTTGATGTATCCAAGTGGCAGTGGCCATGTGATTATGGAGGCCGAGACGAATGTGGCCTCTTAAAATTACAAGTCATCATGGCAATATTGATCTGATCACAGTAGCTTTAGTATGTCATAAGCAAAGGTCTCAGATGAAGAGAGAAGAGTGAGAATTAAGATTTTTCAACATCTGTGTAGAGTTGGCATAATCAACTCCATGTTTGTATGTGGGTTTGTGGGTTTTTTGCTTTAGGTTCAGGGGCAAGGCCAGTTTTATTTTTTTGTAGCCAGTGATTCCCCCCCCCCCCCATACTTCTTTGGGGAAGACCCTTCTTGTTTCCTGGGTTCTGCCCTGACCTGTACTTCCTCTGTGGACCACACCCCATTACCAGAGTTTTTGATTTCAAGACTTGGCAGTCTTGTGTTGATTTATTCTGAGTCATAAGATCAGGGTAATTTCTGATGCACCTTCACTTCCTCTCCCCCACCATTCACAATCACCTCCCATGTTTCTTGCAGTTTTGTCTCAGCTTTTCCTGCTCAACTGACAGGAGACTAAATTGCACGCCAGAAAGAGGCGTGTCACAGCGAGTAGCAACTGCCACCAGCAACGGCGGCACCAGGAGGAGAGCGCTCATGGCAAAGGGACAAGTGTCAACGAATTCACATCCATTAGCGTAATTTTAGGCTGGTAATTTTAGCTAGGCTGCATTGTGGGTGGGTTACAGCAGGGCAGGAAGAGTAACAGGAGCTGTTTTGGAGCAACGTATACGGTTTTCTCCACACTGTAAAGAAAATCACATGACTCATTTATTTCTATTCAGGTTTCTAACTAATTCTTCAGCTGAATCTGTAAGCAGGAAAAGAAAAACTAGGGAAAGGGAGGCACGGTGGGGCAACTGCCCTTGCCAAATAGTATTCACCTTTGGGGCTGAAATCCTTGTTGGGCTTCCTGGGTTCTTATCCCGTATGTTTTCTTCCAAAGTTTAGAGGGTTTTCTTCCCAAAGCAACTCATTAAAGAGTTTAAGTATGATGATTTGGTTTAGTTTTGCTCATTCTTCTTTTCCTGATCAGTGTGCCCCCCTCTCCCTGCTGACTGCCCCCCTCAAGCTGACAGGAATCACTCCGTACCTGGTCCGTGTTATTGCACTGGGCCTCAGTGCTGTTCCACTGGGTCATTCATCAAACACATCCTTTCTCAGCTCATCCATTATTAGGATAGCTCAGGGAGGGAGGGAGGAGGGAAAGAAACTGCTGCTGTTCTGTATCTTTAACTTACACCTGTTTAAGCCGCAGGGAGCCAACTCCATTAACTGTAACTGAGCTGGGTTATTTGCTGTTACTGTTTGTGTTTTGTGTTCTGTTTTGTTTTTTAAATGGTTGGTTGGGATTATCTTGTGCACTCAATGAAGGCTTCTGCCAGGAGTTGTTTGTTCAGAGACACAGTCCTTCTAGTACCATACTTATCCACATTCTCTTGCCAGTGTGACACTTTTAAACTCCACTTTGTTGCTGCAGCCAGATGTTCAATAAATCATCGTCATCAAGAATTTTGAGGCCAAAGACAAAAGGGGAGGAAAATGTATGAACAACAGGAGGAATAAGAACTTATTGTCATGGGGAGAATGAAAAATTTTACAAGTCCAATGCAAACCATTTCAAAGAGTATCAGTCATTAGGTTTGATTATGAATATTTGTGCCCAGGCTGATCATCTATTATAGTTCCTATGGCCTTCCAGATGTTGTGGGACTACAACTGTTGTCATCCCTGTCCATTGACTTTGCTGGCTGGAGCTGAAGGGAGTTGGAGTCCAACAAACATTATTTATTTATTGCATTTACATCTCCTTTTTCTTCAAGGAAAAAACATGTGGTACACATGGTTCTCTCGCTCCTCATTTAAATCTCACAACAACCTTGAGAGGTAGGCTAGGCCAAGAGATTATGACTTGTCCAAGGTTACCATCCAGTGAGCTTCACAGCTGAGTGAGGATTTGAACTCTGGTCTCCCAGGTCTTGGTCCAACACTCCAACCACTACACTATCACTGTACACTACATCTGGAGGGCATCACACTGAGAACCCCGACCTACATCTTTGCCCAAATCTGGATTAAAATAATTACCTAAGACCCGTCTCTGGTTGTTGGTTTCTTGGTTGGTTTGTTTTTTTGGTAGAACCCCGACTGTTGAACATTCGCCTCAGGCAGGCCCACCTGGTAGTGCTTTCATATTGGCACCATGAAAAGAAAAAGAAACACACACACAATGTTACTTTGATTTTGCCTACTGTCACTCTTTCATGTTTTAATATTTTAAACATTGTTATATATGTTTAATTGTTTTTAATTTGGGTTGTTAGCTGCTCTTGGAGTTGGAATACTGAAAGGAGGGGTAGACAACATTTCTAGCAAACAAATAAGGGCCAGAAACAATCCAGAGAAATGAGTTTCAAACTTCCTATCACTAGGGAACTGTTTCTAAACTAGTAGACCACAATGTACAGTACAAGAATCCTCACTTCACAGTTGTACTGAAATACAGAAACCTCCTTTATTTTATTTTTAAAAAACATGAGAGCATATGATTACTATGGAAGAAGGTCCTGATGCTGGTCCTGCTCCAAGGAATTGGGTGCACTGTTGGTCCTGCACTCAGATGTCCACACATTGGCACGGACATCTGCACCGACAATTCCTTTTGTTGTTTAGTCGTTTAGTCGTGTCCGACTCTTTGTGACCCCATGGACCAGAGCACGCCAGGCACTTCTGTCTTCCACTGCCTCCCACAGTTTGGTCAGGCTCGTGTTTGTAGCTTCGAGAACAATTCCTATATAGCTTAATTTTAACACTGGGAAAATTTTAACACTGGGACCTCCTGAATTTATTGCCCGTTTCCATTAAAGTTAATTAATTTCCCAGACATTATCAATGTATTTTCCTTCTCTTTTTGTCAATGCTTTTCCTACTAACATTTATAGCTTTGCTAGATTCTGACTTTTGAAATCACCTGAAGCATCTTTAGAAATCGTAGTCATTTGTCCTTATAGTGTTCCAATGTAGCATCCTTCCCTTGTGATCTATTATACATTTGTCAACTCCCATAGTCACAGCTCTCAGCTGAATACTGTCCTTTTCAGATGATTGATGACACTTTAATTTATCATGTTGATCCAGCACTGCTTTATTTCATTCACTCCCCGAGAACTCTCACAATCAAGAGTAGCCCCAGGGTAGATATTTCTGTATGAAAACTGATGCAAATAAATCACCAATTTTCTCTGCAATCTCCTGTTCATCTTTGCTTTTCTCCTCACAAGCAGACAGCCTTTCACTGACTGGAATACATTTAGTAGGAATACCCTTGACTGTGAAGTCATCAAAATTCCATATTGTCATATTACAGGAAATTTGTCCGAAGAAACAAGAAGATTTCAATTCCTGGTAGGATTGCTACTAGGGCTATGCCTTTTTTCTTCTTCTTCCTCCAAAAAATGGTTTGTAACCTGCTGCACTGCTTTGGAAAGCAAGTTGCCTTAGTTTAGAAATTTGTACTGAAATCCCATTTTGGTTTGGAGCACTTTAAACCTTTGTTGCTTCGGATTCCAAAGTGGCCCAGATATCTCAGAAGTGGGACACTGCAGCCCACCCCCTTGATGGAGGTTATGTTCCTTTTAACAGCTGCACAATAGGCAGAAGTTAAGCAGAAGGTACTGGGTAAAACTAACCTGGTGTTCTAGTGGAAGCCAGCACAAGGACTCCTCCTAGTACAGTGGGGTTTCCTCCCTCTCCTGCCCCCTGCCTGCACTTCTTATAATTCCATTCTGGAGAGTTGAGAGTACACCCCAGAACAGCACACAGGGAGATGGTTCCATCGGAGAGCAGAAATGCTTGCACTGGTGGAATGCTCATATCTGAATTCCTTGCATGGTGTTCACGTCGGGGTCACCAGATGTTGGGTTGAAATCACGACAGACGAGTGGTAGGTGTCATATGAGAGGCGTCTCCCCCGGGGCAAGCCCCGGGAACTCTCTTTTATTGAATATTACAAACATTGCCACAGGTGTGCTTGTGGCTGATTGGTTGACACAAACACAAAGCAACTTGTTGCTGATTGGTTAACATAGGTACAAGGCGGGAATTACATATTACATTTATCACTGATAGATCAAAGGCTGAGAATCGGAGCTGGAACTAGACAGGCATGAAACCTCCTAATTAAATTATAACTAAAGATTGATATTGAGAGAACATAACATGAAGGAATACAACAATCACGTTCCGTAGATGTGGTCAGCAATGCATTAAGAACAGGTCAGGATACACTGTTTCATGAACTCAATGGGAACTGTTCAGAACATTCTCAGACTCTTGTGCAGAAGCAGAGAAAAGATTATGAGCGAGACTTCCCAGAATGCAAAAGTTATGTGCAGTAAGAGAACTGCAGAAAGAGAACTTTGCAGTAAGAGAACTGCAGAAAGAGAACTTCCCTTTAGTGTTGTCCCCATGATATGCCATGGAAAGTGACATATGTTGATTTTCTGCGTATCACTTCTTGCCAGCCCAATTGCAGGGCCTCCCTCAATAAAAAGTGTTTACCCTATTTCATCTGCCCCAGCTGCCACAAAATATGTCTCTCCTGCATTGGCCTCTACAGCCACAGCAGGCACTGCAACCTTCCAGCAGTTTGACTTCACCCGCAAAGGCGTACTCCTCTATTGTCTCCTGGGACAGATGGATGCCAAGACCAACAACAATTACTGGCTGATGTGGTATAATTTCTATAGAAAGAGCAACTAGCTCAGTTTTGTAGAAACATAGGATTTTAGTTGGAATAAATTGGATCCAAATTTATTTTTTTTCTGGGGAGATGCAACAGATAGATTTTCTGCTTAGTTCTAACTAAGGGTCAAATTATACAACTGTTTTCTTCAGTGGGCCTTTTAAAGCACCCAAAGATCAATTGTGCTCCCTTGCTTACAGATCACTACCTAGATTGCTCTCCTTGTTGAATAGCTGGCCATTTCCATGCCTTTTCAAAGAACATTTTCACCCCTGGCACTTTGCCCAATGTCATCCATATTTGACTGTACAGATTAATGCAAACAATTTCTTTAACACAAACAATTCCTAGTCTTCTCTGCCCTTCCCCTTCCCTAGTCTGCTGCCACCGATTAGATATTTTTAGTTGACAAATGGGGAAAGAGAAGGAAACAAGGAGAGAAATCCTCTTTTTGTGTGTGTTTTGGAATGTAAATCATGCTGCAAAGAAGCAAGCAAAGGGGTCTTCAAAGCTAAGAACAAAGGGGACAAGCTAGGTGCCCTTCGATTGGTTTTGAAGTTCAGAAGGAACCTGTTAAAGATTCCTTTGAAGGGAGAGGCGGCGTGGAGAGAAACAGTGCCAAGATAGGAAGATGTGAGAAAATCTCTCTCAAAGAATAGATGGAATGATGATCACCGACTACAGCAACTGCTATGCAATGAGCTGTTCTGCAGCACTGGGTCTCACAGAAAATGTGTGGAATAGGCTTTCTGGCAAGATACGCAGAGCTTTCCTCTCTGCTCATAACATTGGAGCTGAGAGGTACATACATTGCATCAGCTCTGAGTAGGTCTATTTAACATACATGTTGTTCTGTGGCTCAATGGTAAATGAATGGTTGTTCAGAGTAGAACAGCAGGGAACAGAAGGAAACGACAGAGTGGCCACAGTATATCAATGGTTAGTGTATAAATAATGTACAACAAGATGCAGAATAGAAATACAATCAGCACTGTTGATTGACAGCAGAGGGTGACAGCACTCAAAGAAGAATGGAAGTAAGGCGTACTGTGCAAATCATTGCTGGATGGAGAATGGGCCAGCAATCCAAATTTAGTTCTATTTGGGACGTGTTGAAAGGCAGAAAACCAAATAACAGTTCCAATAGTGGAGTATTTATAATGATGATTGCAAAAATCAGGAAAGAGCATGAAGGAAGGCAGAAGGAGGGAAATTGTGAGTGAAGGTTTTTATAAGTCTCTTCAAGGGTGAAAACCCAAGAGGAAAGGAAAGGCTATTATTTAATATTAATTTATTTAAAAGATTTATAGGACACAGACACACATCAATACTTAACCAGGGCGGGGTACAACATAAAATTATTTGTTAACCACCAAATCAATCAAAACAGTAAACATATTCATAAAAAGATCAACAAACAAAAGCAGCTAAAACAACCAGCTAAACACAGTGAAGGTTTAAAAAAGTCACCTGTTCAAAAACCTAAAAAGCCTAGGTAGACAGGTACATCTTTACTTGGCAAAGAAAAGACAGCAATATTGATGCTTAATATACCTGTTGAAGGATAGAATGCAACAAACTGGGAATTTGAACTGTGAAAAGGTTCTAGCAGTGGAACATGAAGGAAAGCGTGGAATGGGCAAGCTGATATGGAAGTGCCAGAAACAATTTGAATAAGGTACAAAAAAGGAGAGGCAGTGTAGATACAGGTTTAAGTACAGAGCAGGTGGTCTGAAAGCCCAGTAGGCCCAACAATTCTAGGTGCTCAGACTGAAGGATTAGCAGGAAAGGAAGATTACAGCCAAACAGAAGGCATTTGGAAGTCAGCAGCAAGCCACCTGTCCTGCTTGACAAAGAAGAGTAAGCAGTTATTTTCTGGACTGCTCTGTATACCGGGGTCTCTTGTGCAGTTCCTGATACCTAAATTACCAGATGCTTAAAATGTTCAACAGAACTGGTAAACGGGGGCAGAGTTTGAAAATTCTGCTGCTAAGTGATGCACTCTTTGCCAAAACATGCAAGTTGTGTGGGCTGTGCACACAACATACATTTAAAGCACCCCTCCTAAGAGTCCTGGGAACTGCAGCTTACCCTTCAAAAAGCTACAATTCCCAGGAAAATTCCCTTAACAAATTACAGTTCCAGTGATTCTTTTTTGGTTTGTGTGTGTGCTTTAAATGCATGGTATGTAGGCAGCCTGCACAGAACCGCAGTCACCTCAAGCTTATTCTGCGGCTTTGCCACACAACACCCTCCCCCCCCCCCCAATTTCCTTTAGCACAGCACTTATTAGCAGGAAGTCTTGTAGGAGCATAGAAGCAATATGGAAGAAAATAAAAAATGATGGCGATTGGAGAAAAGAACTGAAGCAATAGGTATGAAGCTGTGAATTCATGCCAGCAGAGAAGGAATTGATTAAATGGACTAACTGGAAATGAGTTCTTCCCAACCCAAGGGAATTTCTATTAGGAATATTTTATGGAGTATATTGTAGGGAGGAGGATATCAGCAAATGAGGTTCTTATTCTGGGAAGAAGCAATTTATTTTTTTTAACTTAAGGGTCATTAATGTATCCTGGCAGGAGTTTTCAAATAATAGTATAACAGATGCTCTTTGGGTTCTCAGGAAACGGCTTTTAAGTGATGCAAGTGTTTTCCCTGGATTAAAACATACCTAATATATATACTCTGTATTTTATAGGGCTCCTTTCTGAGTTAACTCTCCCCAGGCGGCTTACATGGTAACAGTTCAGAAATACATGAGCAGCAGTACAAAAATGTAAAAATGCAATACAGTGGACGCTCGAGTTGCAAATGTGATCCGTGCGAGAGGCACATTCGCAACCCGCAGCACAGCGCCGCGTCTGCGCACATGGGGTTGTGATTCGGCGCTTCTGCACATGCGCAAAGCGCGATCTAGCGATTCTGCGCATGTGCAAGCGCCGAAACTTGGAAGTAACCCGTTCCGGTACTTCCGGTTTCGGCGCGTCCGTAACCTGAAAACGCACAACCTGAAGCGTCTCTAACCCAAGGTATGACTGTACTACAGAACACTCCCAACGTTAAATGAACCAGTTAGAATAAAACACCTAGCCACCCTATAACACAGAACACAATTTTCACAAATCCGTCCATTACAAAGAGCAGGACAGCTACAGAAAAATAGCATTGGTGGCCATATACTTCTGAATACTGTTTGTTGGGCAGCACACATGGGGTGAGTGCTTTTGTACTAGGGTCCTGCTTGCGGACTTCTCATTGGCCACGGAAAGAACAGACGCAGAATGGATGGGTCTTTGGTCTGATCTAGCAGGAGTCTTCTTATGTTTTTAGGTTCTTAACAATAGGTCATCTGAAACAAATAGTTCTTCAAAACCCTTCTAAAGGATTACTAAGCATGTCCAGGAATGGGGACAGTGATTAGCCGGAGATGGTAGAGGAGTATGCTTATGTTCAAGGTGAGGGAAAAGACCAGGAGAGATGTGATGGTACACATAACGCTTTCACTTCTTGAAGGCAAGGGAGAATTCTGAAGTGTCCCAAAAGAATGGGCTAGGTGAAAATAAAGAACACAGAAAAAGCATGTATAAGGTGAAGAAGCAATGCATTTGGAAAAAGTACTTGGAGTTGCAGCTAGCATGGTCTTTTTCTCCTCCATGAACTATATATTTAGAGCCAGTATGCTAAAAATAATTAAAATTAAGGTTTTGTTGTTGCTGTTTCATTAGGCACATGGAATATGCTGTTCTTCACTGTCAGTTTATCTTCTGCTGCTCATTATGTAATACAATTGTATGTAAGTAGGTCTGTGTATCTATATTGTCATATATTTTAATGACTGCCACTTACCTTAAATTCTGTATGAAAGGTGGAATATAATTAAAAACAAAATAAAAACAAAGATCCAGGTCTCTACCTTTGCTCAAGTTCAAATGAACAGAACAGAGAACTTTGTCTGAAACTGAATGCTGTCCCCCCCTCTGCACAGAATTACAGATCCCAATGATTATTTTTTTTAAACTCCTTCAACAAAGGCTATTTGCCTTTCCTTATAATGTATGGACTGGATTTTCTACGTAAATGGAGGACATGTGAAAGTATTGTGCTAAAGATAGGATACAATTGAATCATACATAGATGGATCATCCGAGAGGAAAAAACTTTTGGAGCTTAGGGACTTCCAACATCCTTTTCGAGTAGTGTGACTATGTTGGGATTACTGAGAATTTGAAGGAAGCATGATGCTAAAGAGAGGCATCCTTTAGTATAGTAAAATTGCCACCAACCCCCTTCAGGCATCCCTTGAAGTTGGCTTATGGGAATGCAAAGAAATCCTTTCCCATGTAGACTAACATTGCCTCCCTAAGTGGATCTGAGCGCCGGCAAGTGATTTATTATGGAAGGATTAGGAGCTCTGCTTGGGAATCGATATAAAAATTGTTTGTGGAGGATAGAGAAAAGACACTTTGGGGCCTGTGTTGATGGACATAACATAGCGGGGTCTCCCAAGAGAGGGCTAGAGAGCGAGACCCAAGAAGAGGGTGGAGAAAATCAAGGAGATGGGAGAGTCTTATTTGCCCATTGAAAAAACTGACAGGACTTTCCAGATTTGCTTTGTTTACAAAGTAATAAAAATAGATATATTAAAAATGAGATGAAATGTCTTAGTATCTTAGTGTCTGCTTTATCAGGGCATACAAAAAATGGAGATTGTCTCCCCAATCCTAAACACAATATAACATTAGCCTTTGTAGTGTCCTATGTTGCCAGTCTATTGTGTGGTATTTCACTGGGGGAATAGTCTTTGGTATTCCCCATCCTAAATAGTTTTGTGGCTTCCTAAGTTTTGGAAGTAGGCAGTTATGCATGCATAATATTATGCTTAATTTTAGTCCTGCTGATTCTTTTTATCTGGCTCTCAAGATCTACTGCCTTTTCAGTTGGTTTGTGTTTATTTTTACAGGTTTACCTTTATATTATTTTTTTTCCCTTTTATGTAAACTGTCCTGGGAATTACTACTGGAGGGTGGTATAGGTGTTTTTATAATAAATATAAACATGTGTTGTCTTGCATTCAGCTAACTTTTACTCAGGGTAGATCCATTGAAATGAATGGCCACAAGTTAGTCATGGTCATTAATTTCAGTGGGTCTACTCTGAATAAACATTTGTTGAATACCAGCCAGTATGTATTAAAAAATTAAAATCTACTGGGCTGTTGTTAGGTTCAGATAGATAGCCATTTGTTTACTCAGCAATTTTGCCACAATTGTTTAAGATGTCCTTTAAAAGTTTGTGTATGACAGCAGAAGTGGTCAACTTACAGGTACTAGGGATCTGGCCACCTGACTGTATCTCTAAAACAGTATCAGTAGAAAAATGGGACTAATTGAGATTGGAACATTTTATAAAATATGCCTGTATAACTGTCCAAGACTGGAGTCTTGGGCTGGATCCAGACGCATCAAAGAAGCGTTTCAGTTAAATGCGTTGTAAACTCTGTATGAGAAATCGGGTTGGCAAAAAAAGAACTCCACAGCACCATCTGGTGTCACAGTGTTATAATGCGTATATAACACATAAAGCCAATGTGGCTGAGTCCTTGGAGGATTTTAGACCCTTCATTTCTTCTTGAATTTCTTAAGCAGAGGTTGGATGGCCATCTGTCATGTATGGTCTCGTTGAGATTCCTGCATTGTAGGAGGTTGGACTAGATGACACCCGGGGTTATTTCCAGCTCTACAATTCTCTGATTCTACAGAATTCTCAGTGCCCTGGAGTGAAGGTGGACAGTGGGATATGACTTAAATATTGTTGGATTCAGTTAGGTCCAAACCTTCAATGGTACACAGTGTTCTATAAAAAGATTTAAATTGCTGTAAAGTGTCTTTATTATCATATGTAGTCTGTCCTTCTCAAGTTTTAAGAGTGGGTATCTGCTGCTTCTGAATTAGCCATTGTGCATTATATGAAAAACTCAATTTGCAACATATTCCTGCCTTTTGCAGCAAAGTCAAATATAGACCAAAGTCTCTGACTTTGAAGAATTTTTGGACACAGATCTTGATAAATTGAAATGTCTTTCCCTTCGCATTTGATAGAATTAGCATTTCTAAGAAGTTGCGTTACTGGGTTTTTTTTACAGAAAAATGAGCAAACCAAATGTTTTGTTGATTTCCCCCCTGCTTTGATTTGGGATGGAAGGCATGGGGAACCCTCAATGTTTCTTGTGCTTGAAGATTAGCATTGACCCATGTGACAAATGCTAGAGAGAGAATCTCCTTGTCAAACTTGTCCTGGGGTGGGTGGAGAGAGCCAAGTTAGGGCACCATCTTGAGTGGATGACATCACCTCCCCCAGAGACGTCTTCTTGAGGAGATGATGCACCACTGCCTCACTCAATGTGAATGGTACTTCCCTCTCCTCCAGTGAAGAATTAATGTACAGCTGGCTTCCCTTGCAAAACTTGCAGAATCATGGGATTTTGTTTGTTTTTTGGACTACAGTCATCGACAGGAATAAGCACATTTTAAATTAACAATGGTGGTGGTACTT